GGGGGGGGGGGGGGGGGGGGGGGGGGAGGGGGAGGGGGGGGGCATGCCCCGCGTCGCCCAGAGGATCCAAATTTCCACGTCGCCAACGTCCCGCACAGAGAATGAAAGGCAAGTCGGGCTGCTTTTCTATTGCTCTGCCTGCTCTGACACTCTTCATGGAGACGGAGTGAGAGAGAGAGAGAGAGAGAGAGGAGAGAGAGTGAGAGAGGGACGACAGTGGGTCGCAAGCCTTTTCAGAGCGATGAAGAATTGTAAGGGAAACGATGCACCGAAGGACCGCTTGAATAAATGGACGGCTTTCATTTCGGGCCATTCATCTTTCCGTGAAAGAACCGCACCGAAGTTTCGCGGATTAATGAGTGCAAGCTACCGACGGGAGGGGAATTTCGATCCTTTCGTGAAATATTCAGGGAGGAAGCAGGATATCTCCGAGTAATGAAGGAATCTCATTAACAAAAAAGGCGGGAAAACTATCAAGTCTCTCGGGGAACGGAAAATTCCCCTCGCAAATAGAAGCGTCGACTCCAACAACGAACTAATGAGCTAATAAATAAATTTAAAAAAGTCCATGAGAGAAATTGGACTTAGTTGGACGAGAAGAGAAAATTTTCTGTCGCAAACGTCGATTCAGAGGAGCAGTGAGAGTAAGGAAACTTATTTCCGAGACCAAGTCGGAATTCCATTTCCGCACTTGAGACGGCAACTTCGTTCCCTATGTTCCACAGGGAATATTTTTCATTTATTTTTGCATTGTGGATGGACGCTTGCCTTCGATTAGCCTTCGATTAGCCTTCGATTGCCTTCGATTGTCTTCCTTCGATTCGGACGCCTTGATGCATGGTGATCTCATTTTACTCTGCGGTCTTTTGAAATGTCGACATGAACTTCGAAGCACCATTTATCTCAACATTATGACAATAACTCAACAACATACCGTACCAGTCGGATGAGCTGAGGTCGTTCGTGTCTCATCGATCAAAATCAGTGTACGAGTCTTGTAGAATCTTCCGTCATTGAAGACCCGGGAGGATGAAGCTACTTCACAAATTTGAAGCAAAAAAAAAAAAAAAAATTGCGAGCGAAAACGTTGCATTGCGTACTTTTTGTTGTTGCGAAAAACCGACTCCGAGAGAAATGCTGATATTTCGATGAAGCAGCGGCTGTCACGAATGATCATCCCGCTCCGTGAATGTCTCAAGGGCGGTTCACGCCGTTTTCCGTGGCAAAGGCGAGCCTTTTCCCTGGGGCTTCTCTTGTAAGTTTCGGCACTTCAGGTTTTGCACATCCAAACTGAAAATGGAGAGGTGTTAGCGTCCGGATGAGTCAGACTACACCTCGACTGTTCAGATGGATTCCGTGCTTCATGGAGCAGTATTGTTGCTAGTACTGAGTACCTATGACTCGTAGCAGATACGCAGCGAAGGCGAACCGAGATTCCTCGGTGCCGCACTTACCGGTATCGATCCAGTAGATTCTGCTCTCGGAGGATCTGTTTACTCTGTCTCTGAATGAAAAAGACGAGGATAATCCGTACTTCAGGGTCTCCAGAGGTACCGTACGGCCTACTGTACTCGGTAGCCTTGGCTTTTTTTTCGCCACCAAGTGCACTGATTCCATTCCTGGACGGGCCTGGCTGAAACTGGTTTCGAAAACACGGATTGTGAAGGGGGGTTGCATGAGCTTCACTCAGTTCTCACTAGATGTCTCTAGGGGGGAGATTGTAGACCTCGTCGGTGTCCTTAAAGGCTTTTTAAATGGATGCCATGCAGTTCTTCCGTCTTCATCGCTGCCCGATATTTTACCTGGATTGAGTGGCCTAGGCTACGAAATCAGAATTATCTTGTAGAGGAATCAGGTTGAGGTGGGAGCAAAGAAACCGATATGCGACTCCACAGCCTCCGAGAAGAGTTCGTATCTGGTAAAAGACTACTTCACATAGAAGTAGAAATCATTCCTAATCCATATTTCCTTAAGACTCTTTGGAAGCGCCCACGCATCAACTCACCCAGCTGTCCTCAAAGACGGGCTTCATCCCGACAAATCGCATCGGGCAAGCAATGCCTTGCGAAGAGGGTTCAGATGGATGCGGGGGTGATTCGAGATCGGGCGAGGCAGGGGATCGCGGTCGTTTTTCCTTGGATGTACGAGATGGGGGGAAATTCTCGAAACTTCTCCGAGTCGAGCGATTGTTGGTAACTGTGCCCGCTCTGTAACGAGTGGCTTAAGAAAGGAAGAAAGTTCAATGAACTTCTCTCACCTCTGAGGGAACACGATCCCACCTGGAAGATCGTCGAAGATCGTCGAGGATCGTCGAGGATCGTCGAGGACCTCGTCCCGACCTAGCAGTTGAAGCTGCTTGCAGAATGAAATGGTGCTTCGTGCTTTAATACTGCTGTATCAGGGTGTCGTGTGTCTCGTGGGATTGCTCCCATTCGAGTTGTCGGATCTGAATTGCAATTTCATATGTTGGCACCGATGGTTTGCTCAGGTGATGGCCAGTTTGGCTCAGTGAAAAGATGAAAGCGCTTAATTTTCGTTCGACTCGGTGGACACAATTTAACACCCGACAGGTCGTACTGTGAAACCTAAGCTTTCGAAATGTATGCATACTCCACGGGTGAGGACCGACTGGGCATCCACGTGGGGAAAACCTACTTGTTCTTGGAGATCTTCTCCATCCCCATTTCCAGGGAGAGGGGGCGGGGGGGGGGGGGGGGGGGGGGTGGAGGAGGAACAAGCGAACTGATTCCTATGTGGAAGAGATTCTATCTGCGGAACCGGGAGTTAGTGTAGCTTACTTTCAGGTTCATGAATGACGTCCGATCCGGCAACTTCACACGATATTGCTCCCTGGTTGAGGATAACGCCACGTCTTCTTCAGCTTTTCCCTCACCAACCGATCCGCCATAACGTCTTCCAAGCGGCACCCACCGCCACCGGTGCAGCCGACGGGAAGGCGGCCGTCGGGCAGGGACGAAGGCACGAGGATGACTGATGGCACGAGTGCATCTCGCGGGGTCCGGGAGTTTCCTTGCATTGAGAGTGAAAGAAATTGGATCGAGGGCGTCCGAAGCTCTGGTTCTGAAACGACAATACTGCGATTGCTTTACTCGATGCTTCGAACGCTGTCGCCATGGCGAATCCGCTGGAATATTTTAAGCGGAAATTGCGGGGAATGAAGGCACGACATGGCCTGTCTGAGATCCTTTCGGCCAAAAAAATCGAATAAAAGAAGCCCTGAATTGAAATAATGAAATAACCTCGAGAACCAGGTGGAATGTTCCGTTCGATATGCTAATCGGATAAACCCGCGAAGGCACGTGTCTCGAAAATTCTGTTCCCTTGATGAAGTTACATTCCGAAGCAATTGAAGAGGAAGCAGAGGTAGCACCCCCGAGGAATGACAATGGCTCTCTTTGTTTTCCGTGTCACAAGGATTTGGGAAGAAACCGATGGGCCCCGGGAACTCGCATGCATTTGCGACTGAACTTCGAGTTCGGTCGCAAGTGTGTCGAGGAAGGAAGTCGAGAAGAAGGCCCACGGTTCTTCGAATATCGAAGTTTCTGGAGTATAGCCCTTTCTATTGGATTAAGGAAACGATCCGACGTTTATTGCGAAGTTCGGCGTTTTGATGAGCCGCGTGGACCCGAGGCAAGGGCTCGACGAAAGCACCGAAAGGCGTCTCGTGACCGAGACTCTCCCGGTGCATCGTGGGACACGAGCGCGACCTTCTCCTCTCGCATCGAAGGACGCGGCTCGCCCTCGGCAGAGTTGCAGCGAGACGACGATATGCAGTGTCGTTGTGTATGCGGTGAAATATGCGCGGCGATGCTCTGGAGACGCTCACGATCTAATGCGAAAGGCGCAAAATCAAGGTGATCCGGAGCCGGACGGTGCTTTCGCTTTGGCTTGTTTTCGAACACGATAGATCGATTCGGGATGCACTCCTCATGGCCCTCGATCACGTTAATTGTGACTCTCCCCGCCTTCCAAAGACTGGATCAGCGGAAGGCTTGGCAAATCCATAATGCATGAAACCCCTTATCTTTCCAGTGCAGATGGATCTGGTTCGACCGGAGGAAGATGCCATCTATATGTGTTCTAACTCCCTGGGCCTGAAACCCGAAAAGGTCGACGAGTACATGAACGAACTCCTCGACATGTGGGCCAACTGGTGAGGCTTCGAAACAAAAAAAAAATTCACCACGGAAGGAAAATGTCGATATCGACGATTGGATCATGGCAGGGGAGTGCTGTTCCAGTTCGAGGGGAGATTCGCGGGTCGGGACATCGACCTGCCCCCCCGGGGAGCCATGGAGAGGATGGTCGGCGGGCTGCCCTACGAGGTCGCCCTCATGAACGGCCTCACCGTGAACCTCCACTGCGCCCTCATCCACTTCTACAGGCCCTCGCGGGAGCGGTTCAAGATCCTCATCGAGAGTCAAGCCTTCCCTTCTGACATGGTCAGCGGGAGCATGCGAGCTGGACTTTCTTCGTACTGAGAATGTTCTGTTCCCGGGTTCAATTTTTCTTTCAAAGCGCATTCAATAAGGTCTTCTTTTCATATTTAAATGACTTTATTGTTGTAAGGAGCTGTCGATTGGCAAATTTATTTACTATAAGCAATTTTTTTTTTCTCACACAGCCACGTATCACAGGTTAGAATCGTGGCCGGTAGTAAAGACAGAGGCTGAAAGTTTCACATAAAAGGTCATTATTGCCATTTGGCAAATTACTTTACGGGTCGTAAAGGTATCCTATTACACCCAACATAGGAGATCCTGCATGGCAAGAAGTCATTAAATGCAACAGTAGTACCCTGCAGTTTGAAGCAGCGTAGCAAGCCCTCTGTTCCAAATGTGGAAGGCCTGTCGGGCATTTCGAGCGAGGCAGAAGCATTTCACTCCAGTGTGGTGCTGCTTCTGCTCGATTCGCCACAGCAATATCTTTCGGTGCCTGCTTGTCTCGAGCGGAACGAATCGGGAAGGCGTCTCTCGTAGACGCCATAGCCGTACGAGAGCCAAGGGTCTTGGTGTGGCGGCCGCGTCCCTAAAAATTGCGGGAATGCGAGAGAAACGCTGCAACATCTAGAAAATGCACGCGGCTGGGAGTAGGAAGAGAAACACGCACAAACCTCGTGTTTCCTTCGGCTTGGAGGTGCATGCGAATCCCTTCTCCTCCGTCCGCTTGCGTCACTGCCTCTGCCCTGTGCAGTGCAGGAAACGAGATCCTCCTCCATAGTGAAATTGTAGAGCGAGAGAAGGGCGGGTTTTGCGCATCCACTCCCTGATTCTTTCGCTTTCGAAGCAGTGAAACTTGAGAAAGGCACTCCCGAACCATGAACGCTTTTCTGTTCTTGGTGCTGGTGTGATTTAGGCGAGAAACAGGAGGACCGAGAGAGAGCAGATCCGGAGAACTGCAGGAAAAGTCGAATTCGGCTTTTCTCGCAGATTTATAGCTTTCCCATTCCTTTTCATTCCTGTCGTGCCTGTCCGTTGGTGGAGTCATATATTCCTATGCATGGTGTCAACGAACGCGAAATTGCACGGCCCGATTGATGCAAACTATATTTTCATATATTGACACCACCTAAGGCGAAGTATTACTTCACACATGGACGGATATGAGGTGAGATACATGGCAACATATGGCATATATGCATATGTATGACGATATGCACGAACTTCGTACGCTTCGAATACTCCATTAATATATGAATTTGTATGACTAGCGTCAAATTCCATTTGTGTTCCATACATATTTTCATATACAATGTAATTGGAAAGCTCCTAATAAGATCTTTACTTGGAAATCTGATTGCAGAGTTCGCGATAATTAGAGAAAAAATTTTTACTTTTTGGAGCTTTTGGTCTTTTTTTTTCAAAATGTCTATTCCTCGACATCTCCAGAACGGTTTGACCTCCGAAGATAAAGGGTGACATGCACCAGATTCGCTTAACTTTGAACTGATTCGCTTTCATAATGGGCGTCTATGGGAATAAGTTTACCTCTGTTAAACCGATTCCCATTGGGGACCATAGTGAGATCAAATTTGTTTAGCTTAAACGCATTCGGTGCATTTCACCCAAAGTCTCGAACTGCAAATATTTTCTGCAATGCGAAAGGTCGCAATTTTTTTTCCCTAATGAAATTCCGGTCGAGCGGGATTTTTCCCCGCCAGCAGTCCCAATCGAGATTTTCGAAGAAAATCTCATCGGGACAGATGATGTCCCGTCAGAGGATAAAGGGATGAGTTCCAGTACAAGTACGATTAGTTTTCCTGCTTCTGGAATCTGAGAAGAGACATCATTTGAGGCTTCTGCCTGTCTTGTTTCATGCTGCCTCAAGTTCTATGACGAAATATGACGATTTCAACGTATTTTTTTTACCTGTTTTTTTTTTTTTTTTTATATATTTTTACTTTTTCCCCCCCCCCCCCCCCCGAAGAGAGTTTTTTTTCCCCATGTATGGAAGCTTTCCTGTGAATCATGATACCAATTTAACGCGCTTCCTTTCACCTGCTCCTTGTCATCCAAGGGAACCCTGCAGTTTTCTCTCTCGCCCGGATGGAACCATTCCCTCTCTGCCTGACGTTTTTGAGGAGGGAAGGCGAGAGGGTTTCTTGGGTTCGTAGAAAACCACTCTTGGTGATTCTGGTGTTTCTCTTCCAATCACATCAATCCCGGCAACACAGAGAGAAATACCTGAAGCTTGGGGCCGCGTTTCTCGAGTTTCGAAAGAAAAACGATGAGCTAGTAGAAATGTGCAACATGTCTGCTGCAGCCCTCAAGTGAAGGGAGTCCCTTCGCGTTAGATGCATTCGTGTAAGGTGGACGTGCGTTTCCTCTTCTAATTCACGTTCACACGCATTCTTTTCTTTTAGATATTGCACTTTTGTTTTCTCCTCGATGCTTTATGATTCTGATCAGAGCCGGCTGCCAAAACTTACTGGCAGGGATGCTGAAGAATCATCGTCGCCCTTGCAGAGGGAATCTCGTTAGCGGACCATTGAAAATAATCACTCTCTAAAAGCAATTTTGATGCGTGGATGACTCAGCCATGCATTTCAATAGTAAATTTCGCCTCTCTTCCGTCGTCGGAACGATCGCGTTCTCTCACCATCTCGATTTGTCCTTTGTCGTCCTCAGTATGCCGTGAAATCCCACTTGAGCATGCACGGGATAAAGGATGAGGAGGGATTGGTGCTGCTTCGTCCACGAGCAAACGAACAAACACTGAGAAAGGAGGATATCCTTGATCTCATCGAAAGAAACGGGGATGAGATAGCACTCATTCTCCTCCCGGGAGTCCAATATTACACAGGTGCTTCGTGGAATCTCGATATATGAGCACCCCCCATTGATTCGAGCCGGGAATGGACACGATGTTATTACTTCTTTTGCGATAGGTCAATATTTCGACATCCCAACCATCACAAGGGCAGGTCACGAGAAGGGATGCATCGTCGGGTGGGACCTCGCTCATTCTGTCGGGAACGTGGAGCTGCATCTACACGAATGGGACGTGGATTTCGCGGTGTGGTGCACGTACAAGGTATGGTTCACTCTTTCCTCACGGAACGAACAAGGAAGGGTCCGGCATTCTCTTATTGATGCATCAGTACATGTGCGGGGGACAAGGGGCGATCGGCGGGTTCTTCCTCCACGAGAAGCACTGGGGTCGGGATGCTCCTCGGCTGGACGGCTGGTGGGGCACCAGGGACGACGTCCGGTTCCGAATGGAGGCCCAAATCCACCCGGCTCCGGGTGCCGATTCCTTCCGCATCTCCAACCCTCCTGCTTGGATCGTCGTCACTGTCCTCGCGGCTCTGGAGGTCCGTCATCGCAGTGCTCAGACTCATCCATCTCCTTTCGTGGGGGTCTTACATGGTTCCCCCTTTTCTCGTAGGTTTTCGATCAGACCAACATGAGGGAAATGACGAAGAAGCAGTTTTGGTTGACTGGGTACTTGGAACTCCTTCTGAAGTACATCAACGAGGAACTCAAGGGAAAACGCAAGGAGACAAGGTAAAAAAAAAAAAAAAAGGGTATGGTTTCCAGCGTGTGTCGCTACCCCACACAGCACAGGTATATCCTAAAGATATCCCAGAGATATCCCCTTGGGACAAGTGAGGAGTCCCAGGTAGTACTTCCTGGCGCCTTCCTATCCGCAATGGATTCATTTCCTACCGCACAAGATAACCTATTACTTTCGAAGATGTCTCTATTTGATCCAGGAACTCCTAATCTTAAGTTCTTGACTGATTGAAGAGTGACAATTATGGGGAGGAAAATCCTGTTCTTAAAAGGGCTCCATCATAGGAGACACATCTCCATGGGACGAAATTTAGTACCTTTAAATGAGGGGTCATGGGCGAGATGATTTAGCCTTACGCCTTCTGAATAGTATGGGCTCAGGCCTCCAACCAAGATAGTTGTATCCAGACATGCCAATCACTCATCATTAAATAGAATATAGCGGAATAAATTAAAATTCGGACCGCAAGTTTTTCACTTTCCCTGATGTACGGAACGAAAATCCTTAGTTATCCTCAGGACAAATCAAGTTGATAAATTTGATAGAAATGATCTGAGGTTGCAGATCAGGGCTCACAGGAGACATCTACCGTCGAAGCTATGCACCTGACTGAAGGCGACAAAGAGCACTGAAGCTGTCTAAAGACATCCCTAAGATGTCCCTAAGACATCCTCCTCAAGATATCGAAGAGCGTTCGACTGAAATGTCTTCAAGATATCCTCTCCAGGATATTCAGAAGCATTCAACTAAGGATGTCTTAAAGATATCCCGAAAGGGATATCTCTAAGATATCGACTGAAGACGTCTAAAAGATGTCCCTTAGATATCCCGAAGACATCCCTTACGAGATGTCTGAAACCGTCCGAAAGAAGATGTCTTCAGGATATCCTATAAAGACCAGAGGATAAGTCGTCCAGTTAGGGACATCCCTGGGATATCACTGTGCTGAGTGGGTACGGGACCGTGCACGTAAATCGGGCCTGTTGTAGTCGAATTGTTGAACGACTTGGAAATTTAAAAATTCCCTCTTTATTCATTTTTTTGTAAGCTTAATGGGAGATTTTCGATTCTTCCCTCATGCTCTTCCCACGAGCCGAACATGCTTCCAAAAGAGCTCTGGGTTGAATGCTGCCAGCATGGATGGGTGGCCCACTTCACGCCTCGTGAATTTCTTTTAGCAAAGGCATGTCATCCCTCTCCGTTCTGGAGATGCAAGATGCGTTTTGTCTAGATCTCGAGATCCCATCACGCTGGTGACTCCCTCAGACCCCAGGGAGAGAGGCTGCATGATCAGCGTGGCCATGGACGGATGCGGCGCCGAGGAAGTCCACGAGGAACTCCTCAAGAGAGGAGTTGTGGTGAGCCACTAATTTCGTATATTCACGAATTGACTCTGGTCGGGAATTTCTGTATGCATTGAATTTTTCTTTATCGGACAGACCGACATGCGAGTGCCGGAAGTGATCAGGGTGGCGCCATTCCCCCTTTACAATACCTTTGAAGACGTTTGGAACTTCGTCCAGATGCTGAGAGACGTGATTCTGCTCTTCTCTTCCTGATGTCCTCTTTAGTTTTCTTAGCTGTTCTTTCTACTATCCAGGTATACGCTTTCTGGCAGCAAGACCGTCGTTTACTAGACTGTATACATTTAGCACCTCATCAATTTAAAGAATTTCTTATATCTTCGTTTGGATAAATGCGCGCTTGGAAAAGTGGCCCAACTTTGGTTTCTCTCGTCCAAGCAGAATATTACTTCGATTGAGGCTGTGTTGTGCGTTTTTATCTCAAAAAGATAGCTGAATAAACAAGCGAAAGGTGTTGCAAATGAACTTATGTTTTCTCTCTTTGCTTCCCAGTTGAAAAAATTAACCCCCCCCCCCCCCACTCATTGCTCAAAACATTTATGAGCGTAGTGGGCTCGTGAATCCTCCCATCACACTTTGTCAACAATCCCTGCATTCGGCTCAAGTAATCTTTATTGTTGGAACTTTTTTCCTCAGCTGTGCCCGCCGTCCACCCAGTCTGATTCAGGTGTTTCAATGGTTACATTGCCATGAGAGCCACAATCGCGTCCAAATAAGACCTGCGGAAGTCGCGAAAATTTTAGCGCGTATAAGAGTCAAATGGTCAATTTTGACCCGTATACACTATGGAAGTTGGTGTAAGAAAGCCTATGTAAGCTAGGAACGTGCGAATGCACAGACTGCACTGAGAATGTTCAGTGAATCAACTTGATGCATTTCAGCCGCATCGAAATTTGTATGTATGTGAAATTGCCGCATTTGTAACGCATCTAGCAGATGGAGTTGGAATCTGCACCTCGTGGCTCCCTCACTGGTTTCAGATCCCAGGTTGACAAGAGCGAGGCACTCAATAGAACGAGAAATGAGGTGAATGGAACGAGTGCTTATGATAGAATCCCAGTCTTCACAACAATATTGACTCAACGTTGGGATCCTGTTGATGATGAGATGTTGATGCCGATGATCCAATGCATAGGCAACTTTGACGCGATGTTGAAAATATAAACATGGCATAGCGAGGACATCGTCCGGTGCAAGGCCGCCCAGAGGTTCCCAGAGGCCCCTGGCAAAACTAAGCCGGAGACCCCTTGGGGGCCCCCTAGAGGCCCCCTTTGGGACCCCTTGATACGCGGGGCCCGGGGCAGATTGCCCCCTTTGTCCCCCCCCCCCTCCCCCCTCTGGGCGGCCCTGGCCCAAGGCCCTAGATAATCAAGGTCTGGACAGCTTTTGTGCACGGGGATGCCGCCAACTGTGACTTCCCAATGACCGATCGCCGTCACGTGACACCATATCAGCCGTATTGGTTCATGACCGAGTGTGGGTGCCCACACGTTTTAAATATGAATTCAAGTCTCTCTCTGCTTGCGCTGCGATTTTTTCTGCCACAGTGGGGGTGCTTTGCAGTTGGATGTACCAACAAGTCAATGAGATGGTACAGGATTTTCAGATTCCCCGCAAACCCCGAGAGACGTGAATTATGGAGGGTCAAAGTCAGCCGGAAGAATTGGGAATGAAGGAGATAGGTCTAGATTGTGTGAGGTGAGTGCAATATGCTAGGCCACAGAAGTTCTTGACTGATTCTGATTTGTTTTCATTGTCCTCTCATGATCTAACGAATAAAATGTGGTAGTCTTTTTTTCAGGTCAGGTTGAAAATTATGAAGTAATTCAATTCAGAGGAAGAGGCACTGGAAAACTTTGCTTTGAAAAACATAAGTTCTTCTGCTTCTGTTGCATTCGTTTCTTATTTTATTTTATTTTATTTTTATTATTTTCGAGGAGGATGAATACAACCAGGGCCGGCCTTAGGCATGTGCCACATGTGCCCCCTCACAAGGCGCAAATTCACCACGGACGCCAAAACTTGCCAGAATGAATGAAGCGATAATGGATGCCACCCTCAGTTTTCCTTCAGAAAGTTTAAATGCCTCCCATTTCTGCGTCTTTTTTTACGATAAGGGTTGATCCCTCTCCCCACAGAGGGGGGGGGCGTTGGGAGTCTCTTTGCATAGGGCGCCGAAATAGCTAGGGCCGGCCCTGAATACAACCTTATGTCTTGTGTTTCTGTGCCCCTTATGAAATGTTCATAAATCATGGTGAGCCTTCCTGCAGTTGGAATATCACTTTGCTATACCAATCTTAGGGATTCATAACGAGTAAGCGTAAATTAAATCGTCACTCTTTCGTGTCATTTGTAGGCCTAGCCAAGCTTGCTCTGCCACTCTATTGCATGTCCAACTGCAGCAATAAGGTGCAGGTAGAGACACATAGGACATGGTACATGGGAAACGCGTATACTTTGTATTCCGTACAAATTAATTTGAAATAGCAATTTCGGAAGAGAGGGGGAATGGGGAGAAGTGAATCAATTTGGTGTCTGCGTGATGACCTGTCCAGACCTTCACTGTAAAAAAAATATCGGAAATTTCCAAGTCTCCAGCGTAAAAATTTCCGACTAAGAGCACGTAAACATGCATTCCCTCTAACGGACCTCTCATGTCCTCAGAAATCCGAAGTCGTTCTTTGCGGCATTCTGCGGAATTTCCCCCTTCTTTTTCACAAAATATTACGGCTAAGGGATCTACATTCGAATTCCGAAGTTCAAGCGAACGATCCTTTTCCTAAGTCCCGTCGGAAATGCCTGTTCCGAATATTCTCGGAAAAACCTTCCCGATCGTTCGGGCCTTTCCGTATCGACACCTTAGGGAAGCCAACTGACACCTTTAGTTTACATTCCCAACGGTAGATAACTCCCAGTAGCCTTCGATATCCCCTTAATTATGACATCGTGACACAACGGAAAACACACGGTTTTCATTCTCAAGAAGATAGATGTTTTAAGCGCATTTCCCTCTTGGATACCGGGGAAACGAATAGCATCCCATCTTCCCGTTGGGAGAGGAACTGCTCTGAAACGATGGATGCTCTGCTCCACCGACATCATTTACATTTCCTGGCTGCCGGCAGCAAGCAATCAAAGTATAAGAGGTCAAGGACTCGGTCGCTCTCCTGGAACACTCTCTCTTTGAGAAGAGAGAGGGGCGAGAATGGGTTGCAATCTTTTCGGAAAACCATTAAAAGGAGGTACCGAATAATCGCGACAGGGAATAGAAATTACAGCTTCTTCGTGATTGGGATGTACGAAACACTCACGATTGATAAGTGGGGATCGCGTAATGAAATAAAATCCCATTTATGAAACAGTATTTTGAATGGAAAGGAGCCGTTTTTGAATAATAAAGGCAATTAAGGAAAACCGAAATGAGACAAATATTTACTTCCGTGAACGGACACCCGATTCCGACATTGGATTGGAATTTTCCGGAAAATGAGAAGAAAGCTCCATTACTCACTTTTGTCGGAGGGATCTATTCCGAGGTATTTTCGGAACAGCATGTTTACGTTAAAAAACTCCATATTTAACGCCCTTGATCCTAAAACCCGAACATTGACTTCAGCGATGGATATGAAGATTAGATTCGGGGCTTCTGTCATTCGCACAGTGAAAAATGAATGTGGGCGTGCAAATTTCATTTGAGGCATCCCGTTGAACATGTCTGTGGGAAAGCTGGACAATTCTAACAACTTTGGTCTGTGGGACCGTGAGCTCACGTTTCTGGAGTTTCGGTTTCGGTTTGGTTGCCCACAAGAATATAGCCGAGCTCAAGTGCAGAAAAGTTGTGAGATGATATATGTGCATACACCAGGTTTGGAGTGAAAATAGAAGTCGAGAAGACATAAACACTCAAGTGGAGACAAAAACTGGGGCGGAAAAAAAAAAAAAAAATAATGAAGCAAATATAAAAAGCTCCAGTTCTGGAAATAGAGGAGTGGGAGACATGAGCTTACTCCATACTAAATTTAAACCATAATGTGCAAGCCCTTAGTCAAGGAAGGAGCGAATTATAAACCAATTCCTACAAAAAGCAAACCTTCGGCAAGGACATGCTTCTGCAGTCGAAAACAGGCAAACATATTGCGGCCCTAATGGGTGCGCCATGCGGGTGACACATGGCGGCGACCAGCTTGTCACGTGCTTAGATTTTGACGTGATGTATGTTGAATAGCGACAATAAAAGCGGAAGTCTTGGTGGCCTAACGATAGCACTACGTTAGGCCAACCGAAGAGCGTTGGCTAATTTTATTTTAAAAAAAATTAAGTTTCGCAAACAACTGAATGGCTACCGAATTCAACAGCAGAAAAATGTGAAGCTGTATTAACGTTAGATATGCTTGATAGAGGAGGGTAGAATCTTACACCGGCTAGCCTGAGCTAACCTACTATCACAGGCCTAGACCATTGATACTGACTTTGAAATTGTGATTTTATTGGCTTGATCTTTTGTAGGTAGCTCATGCCAGGAGTACCCCTACTAGTCATGTCCCGCTGTGGAAAATTTGTACAGAGAGGCATTCCTCTTGTCATAAGGAGGCTCAGATATTTTCAAAATCCTGATTATGGGGCCCAGTTAATCAAACCTTGTGCATTTGGTATAAAAAACTATAGTGTGAGGGTGTTGAGTGATGGCTGCTTAGGCTCACCTCAAGCAAATAGATCTATGCCCTCCTGCAACATTCATCTGAGCCCCCACCTGGCTGCAAAAGGGAAAGACAAAGGAAAAGATGGAAAAGGTGAATTCGTGGTTATATTTGGCTCTGTAGATGAACTAAATATTTCAGGCTTTGTTGCTGTTCTAAATATTTCATTTTGGATAATTGCATGAGAGCAAGCAATTGTGCACTAGAATGGTATGCATATTTTCCAGGCAAGAAGACAATTGCCATTAGTGAAGAAGAGATGAGTTCTGTCATAGATGTTGATAGATACAAGAAAGCCCTATCACAGACTTTAGATGCAATGAAGCACAGTTATGTTGAGCAGGTATCTCTACGGACATCAATTGGTATGATCAAAACTCCACACAGATGCTGAACATAGTGAGTCTGCACAGACTGTTGGTCTATTTGACATGAAATCTCTCAATTTGTTTGCCAAGGTAGCATTGAGTCTTTGACTGTGGAGTTGGAAGGAGATACATTTCCACTGAGTGAAGTTGCTCAGTTAGTGAAGAAGAGCCCACAGTTGTACATCATCAATGTCTCCAGCTTCCCACAAGCTGCTCCAAGTGTCATGAAGGCCATTCAAGAGTCAGGGATGAATCTCAATGCTCAGCAAGAGGGGACCACAATATATCTGCCAGTTCCAAAGTAAGTTTCCTGAAGTTACAAACAGATGTTTGAGACCTACTGTTTTTTTTTGTCATTCCCTTGTTATTTGTAAAAGTTGCTCCAGAAACATATTACATATTGTTTCAGGGTTACAAAAGAGCACAGAGAAAGACTTGCAAAGAATGCAAAAATCATGTTTAATAAGTGCAAGGAGGACATACGAAACATCCAAAATCGCTATGTCAAAGATAGCAAGAAAAAAGGTGATGAGGTTTCAGAAGATGTTGTTTTCAGTGTTCAAAACCAGGTGAGGTGATTTTGAGTTTTTCATATTTTTATTTCATGATGAACAGGTTCTAATTATCAACACCCAGATGAACTTACTTATTATTCATATCTGTAAGAAAAAAAAAGAGGAACTACAAAAAAAAAAGACTAAAAAAATTTATTTATGTGTACCCATAAAATAGACCTGTCATCTTAGGATTGGAGTATTTTTCCAGGATATGATTTTCTTTTCTTACATTCTATGATGACATTTGAACTCAAGCAATTGGAGTCCCAGTCTTCAGTCTATACACTGTTCTAATTAAGCTGAGAACTATGTAAGGCATTGAAGAGTGAATGATCTTGCTCAACTTCAAACTTCTACAAATGTACATACGTTGATATCCAGGGAGAAGTCCATGTAGTGAAGATCAGATTCTCTTCTTCCCTCAGAAAAAGTGTCCAGTTTTGAAAGCCAAACTTTTGCTTGATAGATGAATTCCAGCAATCTTCCATGAGTTTGTAAAATTACTTGATTTCAGTCATTTTGTCAATTTTGTCAAGTAAGCCAATCTTGTATATGAGGATATATACATAAAAATAGAGCTTGATTATTGGCCTACTTGAATATAGTTCTATAATAATAAATGCAGACTCTGACCAAGAAATACATTTCATTCTACTCATAGATCATGGCTATGGCTGAGAAGTATGCAGACATAGCAGAAGAATTGTACCATTCAAAAGTAGAGGAACTCCTGAATCCAAAGATGTGATGTTATGGTCTCCATGTCTTATTTAAGGCAAGTTCGATTCACTTTCAAGACTTTCTCTCTTGTGATTGTGTACTGATTTGTGGAAGTATGAAATGTTCAAATAAATTGGAGTTTTTTGGAGGAGGTGAAACTCATCTCTATAGGATGCACTGGTAATAGCATGAGGTGTTTTATAATAATAAAAAAGTATATCTCACAAATGAAGAGAGAAATATGTTGTAAACAGTAAATTATAGAGCACTTTATGTAGTACATGAAAGCATTGACATGTACTCAAAAAACCAAAATATTCATAAATCATGTATAGGAATGGCTTGATGAACACTCCAGAGTTGGGCAAGGCAAAGAGGAAGAAATGAGTGGTTCCAATAGGACCCTGAACTTCAAGATTTTAAATATTCTTGTGGGTCTACCTTAAGTGCAATACTTGGAAAGCTTGAGATGTTAAGGAAATTAAGAATTATTCGGAAGGCATATGCTGCAACTGATAGTGATACCCTTCTGTCACCAGGATATGTATTACTGACCCTCAAGTCAATGATGTTCATGAGTAGCAAGAGGAGCTAATCATGTGATTTAAGTGAATGTTCTAATTCTCTTTTGAACATTACTGAATGTGCTGCATAGCATACAATTTACCACTTAACCATATATCCCTTGGTTACATCTATATTCATTCAGGAAATATGCACCTTTAAACAGTGGCGTAACTAGGGGGGGGCAAGTGGGGCGGTCGCCCCGGGCGCCACAGTTCAGAGGGCGGCAAAATAGCCTTTCAATAAATTTTTATTTCAAAGAAGCAAAATTTTTGGAATTTTTTTTCCTTTTGCCCATTTTGCCGCCCACTGGCAAAATGCCCATTTTGGCTATTTTTTCCCGTTTGCCGCCCTCTGAACTGAGGGCGGCAAAACTGACTCAAATAGCATTTTTGGGAAATAAAAAATTATACAATTTTACTATTGATATGTATCCGGTATGACGCATGCTGGTAGCTCGGTTAGTAGTGCTGGGGCTATATTCACTTCCTTTGCGAGCAAGTTATGACTGATATTAAACGTGTAAACCACACTCCCCCCCCCCCCTTCTTCCCCCCCCCCCCCTTCCCCCCCCCCCCCCCCCACCCCTTTCCCCTCTAAATCCCACCCCTAGAGCGAGTAATAGAGATGGAACGTATAGGTCTGGCTCCCACAGTGCAATGGACGAGGTGTAACAAAAATCATATCCAATAGTCAGGTTATATATATATTTTTTTTAATTACGAAACGGTGCGACGAAGAACTGCAGCCAAAACAGGTACGACACGATCGTGAGGATGGACATTTTCTTCTGTTATCTCTCCCCCCTCCCCCATTAAATATTAGACTTTTTTTTTAATTTAAAGATAGCAAGCATCCGAGGAGCGCGCAGCCGCACTCTGCCCCGTTAAAAAACATCCGCTGCATCCACCGTGATTCAGTGGAGGCATTCCACTGAATCCGCCGTGACGATACGGGGATTCGTTTCTCGGAATCGCGGTTTCTGGCTTTGTGTGTGCACGCCCTCCCACAATGTCTCTTCCGCTTTCTCTTCCAGCATTTCGCCATGCGGATGGGGGGGTGGGGGGAAGGGGGGGGGGGGCGAAGTCTCCCCTCAACATCTCTCGTTGACAAATGAAACTTTGCCTGAGGATGCGTTTTTTTTTTGGACAGGAATTTAAATGATTCGAGATTGAAATTTTGAATTTTCGATGTCGAAGTTGCGTGCAGACTCAGACCAGGAATCGAAATGGATTCTTCGGTGCTGTTCTCGGCCCCAGATTATCATGAAAATTGGAAGAATGAAGAATTAATACGAACATTCCTCGTTCGAACTCGGGCTGCCGTTTTTTTTTTTTTTAAGAAAAAAAAAAACCGGGAAAAAACTTTCGCGATGAGTCTGGCAAAATAGACGTCTCTCACCTCACCGCATTAATTTTGGCCTTTATTTCCTAAAAACAATATCAAGGAGAAAGCAACGTTCGAGAGCATATCCCGCCCTTTTTCAATCCACGCATCCAGAATCATGAAAGCAGCCCTGCACAACGCTCAGCATTTTTAAAGTGGAAGGAGTTAGAGCGTGGATTGAAAAAGGGCGGGATTATTGATGACCACGTTCAGTCGCAAATTGCTAAAGCTGCTCAGAAGTGGAAACAAATTATTGAGCGTATTACTGCAGCAGTTCAGACGCTTGCCCAGCAGAACTTGGCTTTTCGAGGTCACCGTGAGTCCCTCCCTACACAGTGATGAAAATCCTGGAAATTTTCTGGCATTGATGAAATTCTTGGCAAAATTTGACCGATTCATGAGAGAACACTTGGGTTCAGTTTCTGCGAAACCCAATTCTTTGTCATGTTTTGTCGCCAGCTATACAGAATGAACTGATCAACATATTGGGAGCAAAAGTGCGCCAGTCCATATTTCTGACAATCCAGAAAGTGAAGTATTTCAGTATCATATTTGATACAACTCCAAACAATGTGCACATAGAACAGATGTCGCAAATTGTGAGATTTGTTGAGATTGAGCGTGGCTCTGTAAAAATCAAGGAAGCTTTTTTGACTTCATTCCAATTCATGGAAAAACAGCGGAGGCAATCACAGCTGAAATAACAAAGAAACTGGAACAGGATGGATTGGATCTTCAAGACTGCAGAGGTCAGTCATACGACAATCAAGCTACAATGGCTGGTGTTCATTCTGGTGTTCAAAAACGGATTTTAGATCTGAATCCATTGGCTGTTTTTGTACCTTGCAACAATCACTCCCTAAATCTGGTCGGCGTTCATGCAGCACATGTGAATGTTCAGGCTGTTACTTTTTTTGGAACCCTAGAACGTCTGTTTGTGTATTTTTCGTCTTCAACTCATCGATGGGAAGTTCTGAAAGAGTTTGTCAACATTACTGTCAAGAGCCATTCTGACACGAGATGGAGCTCAAAAGCAGCTGCAGTGACGGCCATTTCCAGTCAACTTGACAACGTAATAGCAGCACTTGAACAACTACGGGATTCTCCCTCTGAAACGATCGATTCACGTGGTGATGCTGGTCTGATTCTCATTGGTGTCCAACAGTTCGAATTTGCAGCTCTCCTGTGTTTCTGGTCAGAGGTGCTCCCTGCTGTTGACCGAATTCAGAAATGTCTTCAGGGTAAAAATATTACTTTCAATCGAGCTTTGATTCAACTGGGAACTTTGATTGACAAAATTGAAGTCTGGAAAAATGAGCTATGTACTACAGCCATTTCTGAAGCTGAAGATATGTGCAATGAATGGGGTGTTTCAGTGGACAGACGTATGAAAAAAAAACGCTCCATGCCTGGTGAAAGTGGATCTGATGCTGGATTGAGCACTCGGAAAGAAATGCGCCGTTGCCTTAGGGAAATTTTGGATAAAATTGGAGTTGAAATATCAGATCGATTTTCACAGTTGCTAGAATTACAGAATCGGTTTGGTTTTCTCTGCACAACTGAATCCTTTGTCAATCAGTTGAACTGTGAAGCTGATGAGCAGCTTACCGAGCTCCGTAAGAAGTGTGTTGATCTGGCGCTTCTTTATCCAAATGACTTGAATGGATCTGAACTGTATGAGGACTATAACGATATCATTGCTTCTCTCAAAAGAGCAAAACAATCAGGAGAAGAACTGGACTACTCTCCACAGGGGCTGCTCATATACATTTCATCAATGGGATTGGAGGCCTATAAAACATTGGCCACAGCACTTCAAATTCTGTTGACCTTGCCAGTTTCAGTTGCATCATGTGAACGCTCTTTCAGCAAAATGAAGCTGATTAAGTCGTACCTGCGATCTACAATGTCTCAAGAAAGACTTACAAATCTTGCTATCCTGTCAATCGAACATCAAGTTGCTTCTTCCATTGATTTCAGCGAAGTTATTAAAGATTTTGCAGCCAGTAAATCAAGAAGAGCTGTATTTTGATTGCAGTCGTTTGTTTGTAAGAATTGATTTTGATTACATTATTTGTGCTGAGAATCAGTCCTGAATAACAGAAATATTTAATAAATCTCATTATCCAGTAAAACGTGTGTGCATGTGAAAATAACAATTAGCAAGGGGGGGGGGGGTCTGGAGTATGGGGGCGGCAGTAACAGTCACTTGCCCCGGGCGGCAAATTACCTAGTTACGCCACTGCCTTTAAACATATCACATAATGCCTAGACATCCTGTATTTTAGACCTTCCTTACTTGTAATATGCTTTCAGAGTGAAAGTCACTGCATAAAAATGGAACATGTGTCCTTTGAAATGACCACTGATTTTTTATTATTAATACCATGAAATTGAGGCATAGAGCATCTCGCAAAGAGATGTATGAATATCTTCCCACTGAAATTTTTTTAATGCTGCATGCAGGAATCAAAAGAATGCAGTAGTGGAATTGTTCTGGCATGGTCTTAAATGCTTATCTGGAGATGCAAGCTTTTTCACATACAGTAAATTCTCTGTGGTTTTCTCCAAGTTCCTACTCAAAGCATGCAGTCTATCAATCACATCTCATGATCACCCTTTCATTAGGATGCCTCTGCAACATTCAGAAGCCTAGGATTGAACTCCTGCATCCTTTGCAGAACTTAAGAGACCCATCGCCGTGTTCTCTTTTGCTGTGTCTTTAGTTTTGAGAGTTTTCATTCAGAGCTATCAATACAAGCAAGAGACTAACTACTTCCCCTTCTCTGTATGCAAAGCAGAGGAACAGCTTTATTGATCTCATGAGTTTAAGGAGAAATTTTAAGAATGGTGATATTTGTCTGTCCACTGGTACCATCACCCATCTAGGACAGTTAAGCACAAGAAAGCATTGCTGCGTATTCAACATATTGCAACCATGGAGCACCCTTGCTGTGTAGGATGGCCTGTATCCTGTGGATGAAATTGAACTGGACTTGCTGCCTTAACAGCAAGTTCCATGCAGGGTCTGGACTTAGCTCACTGCCAGTCCAATCAGGAAGTTAGTGAAGTGGACTGTGAAAAGAGGAATGAACATATTAATGAGGACTAGTATGAGTCAGTTGTGATCAAGGTATCCTTGATTAACTGGGGTAATAAAATAAAAATCTGGAACCATCTTGATGAAGCTGTGAGCAGTGGAAGAATGTGAGGTGACACCTGAAGAACTCTCCCCAGAATCGATGATTTGAGAGGATCTGTTCCGAGAGAAGGTAGAATGAAATGACTAAGCCCAAGCACAGGGATCAAAATAACATTAAGTAGCTTATTATGGCCTTGGTTTATGTTTTCAATGCAGCTATGAATTGGGCCTGATTTGCTATACTTAATGTGTAATTGACAAGTCAGAAAGGATTGCCGTTCGTCTACATCATCTACAAGAAGATACATGAATTCTCCATTTACACATATTTGCAACATGAAGTTGCCATTTACATGCATGGACTTGCCAAGACATCCTAACACTTAAATGGCAGGTTACAACAAATGTCAATAGTAGGGTGGCCAGATTTTTTTCCAAGAAAGATGGAATTTTTCAAGGGAATGCCAGAATGTTAGTCCCTGCAGTGGGAAAAAAACTGGGACATTCAGTCACCCTAATCAGTAGGTGCTGAAATGTCCTTAGATTTGCATTTCACAACCTAGGGACAAAAAAGAAGAGAAGGGGGAAGCAGGAGGAGGAGACAGAAGAAATAGGAGGGGAGAAGAGAGAACAAAAACAGATTAATTCTTCTTTTCCATAATAATTAATGCTCATTTTCTGTTTTGACTAGTTTTCAGGTCCAATCTGCATGAAATCATTTCCCAGAAAAAAACCACAGCTCAAGGAAGGTTCCATACACAAGCCTGGAAAAATCCTTTCAAGAAGCTAATTCCGTTTTTCATTTGTCTATCCATTGCTCATAATACGTGAATGATAGCATTCTTGTCTCCCCCTTCCCCCTCTATGCTACTGTATTTTGCCATATTTTGTGGATGCATTGATGGCTGATGTGAATGCTGTGATGTTTCTAAAAGCTCTCAAGACTTTCCCACCAATTGCAACTACTACTGTCGAACATGAAATGGATGAAGGAACTAGGTTGGTCATAACTACCTCGTAATTCCAGCATGATCTAAGCCTGAAACATTTTGGGCCAGGAGATACTCAGGAGTTCATGAGCATAGAGAATCCCAATTTATAACTTACACTGTTTCCAGATTGAATTTGTACCCTCTATGAGAGGGTACAAATTCCATTGATTGCAGGTAGGAGCATGGGTAGTTTTGCCTATCACCTGCTGAAGCGGAACCTCTGGTAATTTGTGTTTTCCCCATTCTCCACCATGGGGGGGGTGGTACGAATCAATCCGGAAACAGTGTACCTTCTTTAACAGGAACTAACTATTTTCCACTAAATTTCATATTCACTTGGGATCCCAGGGAGAACATCCTGGCTCCAGTTAAACTCAATCATGCTATGGTATCTGAACCTTAAAATGATAGGAAATTCAAGAACTCTCCAACTTTTATTGTTGTAGGCCAGCCATGATGCAGCATATCCCCTACCCACAATGTGGGGTTGAATTTGTAATGCTGGACTAACTGCTTCTTGCTTCACTTCACATGCACCCAGGATCCAGGATGGGCCATGCTGGCAGTTTGAGCCAATAATGCTGTGCTCTGAGCTGTGTGCCCCTAAGATATCCAAATATTCCAATGTTTTTGCTTCGACCTTTTAAAGAGCCTTTACACATTAATTTTCATAAAAAGGGATGCTTCTGTCAGTGAGTATAGAATATTTTTGCATGAAGTTTCGCTTGCATACAGGATCAAGGCTGGAATCACAGAAGAATCACTCGAGATAATTTTAATTTCAAAACATTTATTTGTAGACATTGATAAAACCTAGCTATGATTTCTCATTATAACCTTAAGGAATGTATCATCATGCTCAAATTTTGCTGCTTGAGAAAATGTAGAGAAAGTGCATCAGCAAAATCCAGCTGGAAGACCTATCCAGTTTAAAACCAACTTAAACCAGTCTAGACCACTGCAGTTACTTCCAGCTTAGATTTCAGGCTGAATTTTCGACTAGGTATAATTTTAATTTCAAAACTTTTATTTCTAGACGTTGATAAAACAAGTATTTTTTATTATTAAAAACTATAATTTCAAATAATAACCTAAAGGAATACCATCCTGCTCACATTTTTCTGCTTGAGAAAATGGAGGGAAAGTGCACCATCGAATTCCAGCATATCCTGGATTCATGGGCTGTCTCTAGAGGTGGCAGTGAAACCTCATTTCCCATTTACTCGGTACACGAGACAAAGAAACAGCAATATGTTACTATAGCTCTCGTTTTCATCTGCTAAAGCAGATCATTTTGGCATGTCGTCCGACTCTGTATTGAATGAAATGTCTCTGTATTTCTGTAGTGTGGGCGTTCCTGACGTGTCCGTATATGTAAGTGGTGTTAATTATATTCTGACTCCTATTATTATAGTACCGGTGAAATCCGTAATGAAATACGAAATGGTTTAAAAACAGGAACAAGATTATATTACATAATGCGGGATAGACTGACCTACAGAAGGGTCCACCCGGGTGGTAAGAGAGAAGGACGTATCACATCCACAGTTTATACATAGATAACTACAGGGTGGCTCAAAAAAACCTGGACCCCTGTCTTTCAGAATTTTTTCATTTTTTAATTTTTCAAGATTGATCAGCCAAATTTCTTGTATGCAAACTTTCATCTATTTCTGGCTTTCAATTAAAATTTGACTACGTTTGGACAAAGGATTATGGATAAATTAAAATTTTCCGAGCGGCACTCAGAATTTCCCCTGCTCCGAAAGCACAACGGGTTGGAGCACAACGTGTACCCTTGTCAACGCGTCATAGCAGCTGAGTGTCACTCCTGATTTCTGGCCCTGTGGCGTCATCTACATCAAATATCACATAAAAGAAACTAGGAAAATTAGAGCAAGGTTGCATTCAAGTGGCGCTAAAAGTGTGAAAGTCGAGAATAGCGCGCGCATTGTTAGTGACACGCTCATGCAGTTTCATAACATTTTATTCGTTTTCCCCAGATTTGCTGTACTGGAATAGTTCTCTTAACTATTGCCCCCGAAAATTGTTTCCAGATGCCTATCTCAAAGAAAGACGCTGGGGGTAAAGAAAATATTGGAAGAGTTCCTTGAAAAAACTGGAGCGTCTCCAGTATAAATTTGGTTTTGCAAAAGATTGATCAAACTGGCAGCAGTGATCGCAAGCTCCCAGCTATCAGTAAATCGCACAATTGATCATTGGAGGAACAGATCGGAAAGTGTTGCTGAAAATAGAGGAGACGTCTGAATATTTGCGAGGAAAGAGCTTTGCTTCTGGGGCAGTTCAGTTTTGACTATTGAGAATTCAGAGTACTTTTCGAAATAATTTTATTTCTCCACAATCCTTTGCCCAAACGTAGCCAAATTTTTCATGAAAGCCAGAAATAGATGGAAGTTTCCTCCAAGAAATTTGCCCGTTCAATCTTGAAGAATAAAAAATTAGAAAAATTTTGAAAGACAGGTTTTTTATTGGCCACCTTGTAGATTGACAGAATGAATCCTTAGTCTCCGGCCTTCGAAGATTTTTTTCCTCCGTTCAGGCTAGGGGGAAGTCTCTCGGAGGTGGGAGGTGGAGTGGAGATGACTCCTCCCCCTCATATCCTCTGGTCACCGTCTAGAGGTCCACAGTAGCTACTGTTTTCCTCTGTTCAACTCTTGACGGGTGGGTCTTTCCGCCAGTGCCATTGTCCATGAGCCATTGGTAACTACTTCTGCTTTCTGAGGCCAAGTTGCATTTTTGTGGCAGTATTCCTTTGAGATCGGTGCGTTTTTTATGAATCAGCTCTCAACGAAAACCATCTCCACTTGGAATTGTCTTTTCGTTATCAGAGTAGGAGAGCCAGGGCCGCGCAGAGGGGGGGGAGGGGGAAATTGGGGCAGTCTGCCCCGGGCCCCACGTATCAAGGGGTCCCAAGGGGGGGGGGGCCTCCAAAGGGCCTCAAGGGGGCCCCGAAGGGGTCTCCGGTTTAGTTTTGCCCTGGGCCCCTGGAAACCTCTGGGCGGCCCTGAGGAGAGTCACAGCATTGGGGAATTCATTGTCGGTGAGATTTTAAGCTTTTCCCGCTGTTTATTTATTATGCCATCCTAGCTTACGATGACGATTCCAGGAATTCGTACCAGACTTTCATTACCTTTCTTGCCCAGGAAAAGGGAGAGACGCGCGGAAAGACTTTTCGCTGTCATGTCACCCATCATGGACCATGTGGACCAGGAAGACCCGCGCTCTGTTATCGGGGATCTAACCCTCGTGAAGGCTATTATGTGATGAACTTAGCCTGAATTACGATTCGAGTAGTAAGACGATTCCCGTGCCGCTATATTCCGCGGACATTAAAGTTTTGTCGCGGAATCATGCCGACACGGAACTGGAGCAAGATCGCCTGCCCTGCCGTCGAGCTCTCCCTTCATAAAACTCTCGGTAGTGGGCAGTCTTTCAGGTAAGGAGCAACGATTGTCAGTGCTCTGGGTAGCCCCATGTGGAGGACTTGATAGACGTCGAAAGTCACTGTTGTGTAATCTATGGTGGCCAGATCGTCCCGGTAAAATCGGGACAGGCTGTTTTCTCTGGAACAGCACCTGGCTTTGAGGTACTGCCCTGCTCGGAAAACTATCCAGCGATTTTTCCTTTCAGTGCCACTCATTTGTAGCAAACAGCTCATCGGCCTATTGTCAACCGTAAACGTAGGGAATATATCTCGGATTTTCCTTTAAAAAAAATATGGTCACCCTAGTGTAATCCTGTACTTCCACCTAATTTAGTGCAATAGATATTGCATCTGTCTAACAGTTAATTGTAGCCTATGACAGAGATGTGTGCTCAACTTATCAAATAGATAATATTGGTGAACATCCTTTTTTTGCAGTTCAGGATATATTCCATGCAATGCAGTTGCATTTTTAATCATAACTCAAGGTCTACCAAAACTTGAAAATGTATTAAGTTTGCATACATCAGGGCAAGGACAAATTCTCACAGGAATATTTAATATCCTTGATAATTTTAACAGGCTAAAACTCAATAAGACTACCAGTTTTCTGCATTGCTATTGATATCAAACTTCTCTTTGCTTATTGCTGAAAAGAGTTGGGCTAATTTAAGTCCTATTTTTTTGGAAAAAAATGAGGTACTGCTTCACTGTGGCTCAGTGGATAGGGTCTCAGGCTAGTATGTGGGAAGTCCAGATTCAAATATGATGAGCAGCTAATGGTATTTTCATCCAGCTACTTTCATGCTCTTCCTGCTCTCCTTTGGGTTCAGGCATAGGTCACTCTATGCTCCAGGTTTTGAGTGGTAGGAGTTGGGTGTGCCTCAATTGCACCCACAACATTGACCAGAGTTGTCTGATCTGCAGTGATGACAGAGCTTGAGTGGTATCAAGTTACCATCATGTTACCCTGGCCCGTGTATAATGGGATAAAGAGTAGCAGTGAGCATGGGAATGTAGCAATGCCACCATGGTTGTCTCATACAGATCAGCTGGTTCCTCTGCTCAATCTTCAGCTGCTTGTCACTCTTGTACTTGCCTGTCTGTTTGAAAAAGATAAGGTAACTGCATGTAATTACTAGACCTATTGTACAGAAGTTCCACTGTAGCCCCATGTAGGAAATGCCATGCAATGAAATTTATTTGAGAGGGATGGAAAATGTAGGTTGGGCCAAGAGTGGAAGACCCTGATTGATGAGTAGTCTAAGCTTACATGGTAGTGAATCTAGATGTAGTCAAGGGTGGGGACCAGCCATTTAATTGTGCTTCTCAAGAAAGGGTGCCATATTCACTAATATTATATTTTATTCAGATCTATTAGCTTAGGTAGCAGTACATGTGGGCAGCATTACATCATAAAATATGATTACTTGAATTCTTTTATCTTCAAATATTTGTGCAGTAGGTAGAAGTCACCAAAAGTCCTCCATACACTGCATCGCTGCTACTAGTCATAGATCCATTTTTTGCTTGTTACTGGTGCCCTGATGAGCCCTGTACAGCATGGGTTCTCAAACTGGGGGGTGCGAGGGGGGTCCCAAGGGGGGTGCGACAAGTTGTGAGTTTTTTTTATCTGCTACTATCAGCAATTAAAAAAATTAAGGAATATTTTTATTCTTCTATCTATTATTTTTACTAGAAAAAGGTCACAATCCTTCAGGTCTTTCTGGTCTTTCTCCTGGAGTACAAGACTAAATAAAAGCAATTCCAGGCCGACTTTTAAATTCAATTCCTTTTTTCAAGGGGTGTATGTTTTCGTTGGCAATTTCCTACAATTCGAATGAAGATAACAAATGAATCGTGCATCCCTGTGGGCTGTAACTTGAATGCTCGATGAATGTAGCGTCTGTGCACTTGTACGTCTCTCAGAGAGAAAGGAGGCACAGTGCCAAACCAGGGTCGCTAGGAGGGGTGCGACAGCAAGCGAGGGTCCCTAGGGGGGTGCAGCGTAAAAAGTTTGAGAACCGCTGCTGTACAGGATGGTATTGGAAAGCTGAATAGACAGTCTTACACCATTTTTATTTATACTAGGAAGCCACACTCTTTCTTCTTGTTGTACATAGCTATAAAAAAAAGGTATTAAGTTTCATGTCTTCAGTCCTGACTCTAGGGTCAAATTCAGCCCTGGCTCATATGCTTGATATGGAGTAATGTATTTTCATACCCATTTCATCTGCCCTTGATGACCAAAGAGAACTAGTAGCCTGTTGACTTGAATGCTAATTGTGTAGGTTTGATCCCTGTCATTATGCTTTTTCTTATGGATGTGAAAGACAAACCTCATCTCAACTGAGTGTCATGCAGTTAGCAAGACTAGGTGCTAAGGTTTGTTATAAAAACAGGGCCCCTTGGAAACTGGATCTTAAAGTGAGGTCAAGGCCTAGCTTGTGCCGAAATTCCAGGTTGGGCCAGCTCTGCCAGCCTGTTGAGACCCAGTCAATTAGTTGATAGATATTGTCATGATTTAAAGAAAAGTCTAACAACTTGTGGTTCAATATTACATTCTTATTATCATCTTAGCAAGCAACTTTCACTTTCCATGGAATATACTCAAGTGACTGATCCTAGGTTATCTCATGTTTCTTGTAACTTACCAGATGAGGCAAAGTTTCTCAAGTTCCAAAGAGAACCCAATGCAAGAAAATGCATTTGTTGCAGCACACATTGGCAGAGTAGTGAAACATTTTTTGATGGGCAAAGTCTTGACCTCCAAAGTACTATTCTTTGCTTGAATATGCAGCTCAATTTGGGATATGATTCATTCCATAACTTTGTCCCAATCTTCTCTTCCCTTGTCTAACACTTGGCATTTTTCTTTATTTGTTTTAGGTGGGAGACCCTTGAGAACAATGAGTGGAGAGGTGTCTTGGAAAGATTTGTCATTCTCTTCTCCCAGACTGATACACACCTGCTTTTTGAAGTGCTCAATGAACATAAATGTGCACCAGCTAAGTTGGAAAAGAAGATTCAAAACTATTTTCAGATGGAATATAATATGCAAGATCTGTATAGGCAGTGGTCACTTCAGGACCCAAATTTTGCTGTGATTGAGAAGCAGTTTGCTGGAGTTCGCATGCTCTCTCAGGATCCTGTTGAGAATCTATTCTGTTTCATCTGCTCTTCCAACAACAATATCAAAAGGTACAATTTCCTTTTTGTCGTATTCCTTGCATAGATGCCCTTTGCCTTCCATAGGCCTAACTTAATTTTATGATTGTATCTTCATCCTGAAGACATATTGTGATCTTAGGCCTCTTATTTAAGAAGACTAACCAAAAAGTGCATAGGCCATTGTGTGAATTGTTAGCTAAATCAGATTATATAATTTTACCCTTGGGATTGGCTGGAGAAGATTGTAAATTTCTGTTGTGTGAATGATAATTCTTTTCAAGTATATCTGAACTCCTAAGAAACCTTATATTATTAGAAATTTCTTATTAAGAAGACAATAGATTTTTCTCAACACAAATCCATTATTAAAGTAATAAATTCTATTGAACTTATAAGCTTGATTTTCACCCTTTGTGGGAGTCTGAAACCCAGACTGAAAAATGCCATTCAAAATTGTGCTTCCCAATACACCTGTTAGATTTTGTGCTTGGTTTACACTATTTCCTGTTTTCAAATAAACAATGAAGATGACCTGCTTTGCATCCTTGGCCTTCCTGGTTTCAGTAATGATTGTTTCGAACCATGGTCCCTTCTATCACTTCCATCTTCTCATGCACACATGATATGAAGTTTAAAAGGAACCACATCTGGAAATTGCCATGAACATATCACCATATCTCGATAAAATGTGACCAGAGATGGACCTTGAGATCTGTGTTATCTTTGTAGAGGAATCCAGGTGATAAATTATGTGTTGTCATTCACCCCTGAATACCCCTTCCCTTGACTTGGTCATTAAACAATCAGTCAAGCATTAGCCTACCTTACCAGGTCTGTTTAACAAGTTAATTAATTATTCCTATTCCTTTTTTAACTCCAGGGTTGAGTGAATACATTGTATTGCTTAGAGACAATTTTTAGGAAAACACTCATTCATCATTTTCACTTCACATTCACTGTCATTTGTTTGTTTCTGCTGTATTAATGTAACATTTACCAAATAGGCATAAACCAATTGGAAATATGTAATAGCTACTTTATTATAACAGAGTAATTTGTGCCCAATAGTCATTAAATGTGCAACTGAAAAAAAGTATCTGTAAGCATGGTAGTCAAATGGCAGTCATCATTTCATAGTAAAGTCATGTAGCTTTTATAACCAGAGCTAATTTACTGTGAGATGTAAACCCTTTGACCTTTTCTTTCTTTATAGGATCTCTCAGATGGTGGATAAAATGTGCTGTAAATATGGAGATTTTATTGGAAGAGTTGATGGGAAGGATTATTACAGCTTCCCATCTATTGAGTCTTTAGCTGAAGATGATGTCGAAGAGAATCTGCGACAGCTGGGATTTGGTTACCGTGCCAAGTATGTGAACCAGGCTGCCAAGATGGTCTTGAACAAAGGTGGATCCAAGTGGTTGAAATCTCTTCGGAATCTTCCCTATCGAAAGACCCATGATGAACTGATGAAGCTGCCTGGTGTTGGAGCCAAGGTAAGGATGCTTCCTATTCTTGCTTTGCCTACTGCAGTGAAATACATGAGAGATGAAATGGCTTTCAATCTTTCCTCTGTGGTGTTAGTGATACATTTTTTTTAATAAAAAAAAGAAACCTGACTGGATAGGAACTGAAATAAAAAAAAAAAGTACTGTTACATTTTTTATGCATTTTTGTATGCATTCTGTATCTTTTTTGGCAGGGTTTCAAATTGCATCTTCTCCTTGATTAATTGAATCATGACACGACCAAAATGGATTGGAGGCTTCTGGTTTACTTCTTACATTTTTCGAATAAGCAGTCGACTTCATGAAAATTGAATAGAATTTAGTAATGAAAAAAAAAACAGGAACCATTCCAGGCCTGTTGGTAAAACTGAGTAAAATTCAGGCATCCTGAACTGAATGTAAACAGGAATGATATGCTCAAGCCTAGAAGTAAACTGAAGGTAAAATGATATTCTGTCATTTTAAAGCTCTGATTTTATGTATTGTTTACATAACAAAGCTTGTTTTAACTATGTGTGATAGCACTTGCATACCAACCACCACTCTAATAGAAATGGCTTCTCAGTCAATTGAATTACCTCCCTTAAACCACAGGATATTGAGGTACATGAAGTCAGTTAGAATGCAAATAAAAGTTGTCATTTTTATCGTCAATAGCTTTTGTCATGAGAAATATTCTGGGGGAGTAGTATTCCAGCAAACTATTGTGATTCAGGCATGACTTCAGTCTACTATGAAGCATAAAGAGTGAGGAAAATTTTCGAGCTAGTGGTTTGCCTACCCATGGTGTATAAATTTTCACAATCTTTTGAGATGGTAATCTCCTCAGTTCAATCCCAGATGACTAAAGATCTGATATTTCAATTGAAGTAAACCTCATTATGCAATTCACTGGACCGATATTTAGATTGACATTATTATTTTATTGACAATGAACATTAGAAGTGACCAACACAAGTAAAAACTTGAAATATAACTTTAAAAGTAAAATGTAGGATTGCTTATAATAATATGGGACCTGTAACTGAGTGCATCAACTTAAATTGTGCATCCACATGGAAAAATATTACTTTTAATGGTTTTTCTATGGATTAACTCAGTCAATTGACTAGAAGCATATGCTCCATATGCCTGAGCCATCCCATCCAGTGCTGCTTGTTGCTGACCTTATCTATTTTATAGGTTGCTGACTGCATCTGTTTGATGTCTATGGGACATACGTGTGCTGTGCCAGTGGATACACATGTATTTCAGATTGCAGCAGCCAGATACCTACCTCATATCAAGGGAGTGAAGTCTCTGACAAGCAAGGTGTACTGGCTGATTGGAGACCATTTCAGGAACCTCTTTGGTGATCTGGCAGGTTGGGCACATTCGGTAGGGAACATTTGCCTGAAGGTAATCACCAAGGTGAATAATTATTTTTCATAATCCTTTTTTTTGTGCAGGTGCTGTTTTGTGCTGATCTTAAGGAATTTGAAGGGGAAGCGAAACAGGCAGCTTGTGCATTAAAACGGACAGCTGAGGTGCAGATGCCAGGTCCTCTGGTTCCACACTCACACAAGAAGAAGCGGAGATGATTTTGCTGATTGAGGTTTGATTAACTCATTATCACCCTACTCTTGACCTTGAGTTGAAAATTGGCATAAACATGGCCCACAAGCCCAATGCCAGCCCCCCTCAAATCCTATTTGAATTACCAAAAATTTAACAAAAACTTGGTTTTCCAAGATTACACAATGTTGCATGAGATATCACCATGCTTACATCATTAGCAGTGTTCTCCATCTTGTGAGGACCTATTATTCAAATTTCCTAATTATGGGATGCTGGTAGATAATATGTTAAAATCAGTCATCCTTACTTATGTTTGTACTGTTCTCCAAAAAGTTATGCCATCTTTTATAGGTGTTTTCATTTGCAAGAGGACAGCAACTTTCAAGGATTTGATTTAGTGGAATATATTAGCTGGGGTACATTGTTTATAATAAAGGGGGGGGGGAAGTAGTAGTTGGGACAAAATATTGATACGCTTGGAATCTCTGATATTTGGGGAAATGCTTTTACATATGTGTGAATCCTCTGAAAAGTCTTAAGTATTGGTTCCTAAGTCATTTATATTTCTACATCATCTGATGACATTTTCAGGAAATTTTTAAAGAGTGATACCTTCTCTTCGTAATCACCATTGAACTCAATACACTTCTTCCACTGTGGCACCAGATCGTGGATGCCAAGATGTAGTCCTTGTTGATGGTGTCAGCATACTCAAACCATCATTCATGTAAGCTCTCTTTCACCATGGGGAAGAGGAAGAAGTAGCAGGGCAACAGATCTTTTGAGTAAGTTGGGTGAGCTAGCATATTCCAGTGCCAGTCTGCTATGGCCTCCAGGACTTGGCTCTCCTTGAAGGTGATGCACATAACATTCTTTGACGTGTGTAGTGTCATCCATGACCATGCAATACCCCAAGACCAAATTATCAACAGGGACTACCACCTGCACTATGTTCTCTGCAATTTTATCTGGCTAGCCAGACTTGTACTTGTAGCTCTAATTTCTAGAAGACTTTCATGCTTGGTAAATGTATTTTCTGCACTCCTGTGTCTAGCAGAGACTATGGATTTTCCTGTTGTGACCATTACATAGGACAATATAGGCATCGTTCTAATGTGGTACAATACAGTAGAGTTGAGCTTATTACATCACAAAAAACTCAAAAGAATAAAATCCAGTGCCGCAGGAAATGAAATACCTGACTACAAGTATTGCCAGCTAAAGAATGATCATAGCAACTTTTCTTGGAAACCTTCTATGATAGAATTAACCTTGAATGTAAGTGTGGACTCTGTCTGTTGTACTACCAATGGACTCGAACAGCTTCCCCACTTTGTTGGGCATATTTGGATGCACTCTATCTGGAATACATAGACTCTGACCTTCAGACCAAGAGATGGCATATTCGATTCTGCATACTCAGCTGCTCGTTATATCCATACGCTTTCATTGATGAAACCTCTATTGGTGTCATTCCACGAGTGCTACTCGATAGAGAACTCTGGAATGCATTCTGAACTTGTAATATGAGCTGGCTCCAGTGCCTTGTACTTTTTGATTTACAAGCACTAGTGCAAACTCTGTGGAACAGAAAATACAAATACTTGTAAATACAGCCACTCCACTTGTAACTTGTAAATCTTCTGTGGAATAGGCCCCTGGAGACGAATGTCATTCTGTTGGAAGACAATGTGGCCCCTCATTGGAAGAGCAAAGTCTTGGAGGTCATGGCAGACTGGGATGTGCTCACTCACCCTACTTACTGCTGAATCTGTCTCCTTGCAAATTCTTCCTCTTCCCCTAGGTGAAGAGCCTGCATGGACACCATGTTTGAAGACACTGACACCATCAACAAGGCATTGCTCCAAACATGGCCAAAGAAGGATAAATTTTGCCATATGTGGTCTGGTGCCACAGTGGAAGAAGCGCATTGAGCTCAACTGATATTACATTGTATATGTATCACTCTTTAAAATATTTCCTGAAAATTTCATGAGATTATATTGAGAAATAAATAACTTATGAAATAACACTTAAGACATTTTGGATGACCCATGTACAGTAGTGTACAACTGTATTTCAGTTCTTTTTTTTTTTTACATAAGGTCCTCTTTTAACGTTTTTCAGGGGACCTAAGAATTTTCACAATTAAACTGGAAATACATAATGAAAAATAGGGTAAAATATAAAAATTACTGAAGAATGAAGCTAGAGTGCAATAAGCTTGTACTTACTCATTTCTTTTAGTTGTATGGTTTTATTGGTTGTTTTCAAATTATCCTGTTGTTATACCAGCTTAAGAATTAAACATTCGATTGCAGTATTGGCATTTTTAAAACTAAAAGTCATAACACAATCAAATTCAATGCACCATCATTTTGATAAATGATAGTATTGTTCCAATGCCAACTTGGATGTTTTGTGCCATGTAAAACAATCATTTAAATGTACTTTAGACTGTTAGGTCTTCAGAATACTAATGTTGATTATGAAATATACTTTAAATTAAAAATTATGAAGTCTTTTCACATTGTTTGCTTGGTAAATCTGGAGGGGATTTGTTAGAAATGGTTTTCTGAAAAATCCATCAATCTGAGGGTTGTTGAAAATAGTATTTTATAGTACTCCTTTCAGATTGTCATAGAAATGCAAGTAAGTAATCATCAAGTATATGCAAATATGATGATACCAGTTTGGAATCACTTAATTCTCCCATAGTAATTGTGGTATATGTTGTCAACTTTGCAGGAGGCATCTTAAAGTGAGATAGTTCAAGTCTATTTCTATGTAATCTTTTGCCAACAGGAAATTCCTTCCAAATGCTGTATGTTTATTTTGTTGCCCTTTCAATAAAGTGAATCAAATGGAGAAATTAACTAAATGCCAATATGCTGGAAACTTTATTTTGCATATGCATATTTAACATTCTTTAATATATTTTCATATATGATGCCTTGGTTGTTCATTTCTACAATGAGCAGAGGGACTTTTGAAATACATTGTTCTTTTGAGGGTTATGTAAATTTTTACATTAAAAATAGTCACTTTAATTATCATGCATTTTTAAAGATTTTCTGAGTTTTGCTGAAACTCTTGAGTTGCCATATATAATACATTTTTGGCCCAATTGTTTCATTTACTGAGGAGACACATTAGTAGTTTCAAAAAACATGTGTGCTTCTTACACCTCAATGAAAGCATTCATCAAATTCTCAAGTTTCAGTGGTTACCATGTGGCACTGTAGTGGTTCACACTAATGTAGACAAAACTTGCACTATTTCATTCCAATGAACATTGAAATATTTGACTTTTTAAATTTCTAATGGACCCATGCAGCCACACTGTTATGTACTTGTTAGAGTGACCTATTAGTAAGGTACAGTTCATGCTGCCCAGCATAATAATGGCTAAAAATGCCTACTATGACCTATTGCTTTCTCTTTTCATATCAGCTTGGGGTTTATTTTTGCTAAATAGGTGATTGGTTGAATTCTACCTCATCTTTCAATGCTAAAGAATGGTTGAAGTTCCATTTCCAAGACATCTATTGGCTTTGCCCATGCCTTGGAACACCAATGGTCACCATTCTTGATCATTGCCAGCAGAGTCTTTCTATCACACAAGGGAGCCTATTTGTGAAAGTTCCAATGAGGAATACCCAAGTGCTGTGCATCCATCCACCCAACTAATCTGTTCAATTATAGTGGACAAAGGGGACTCAGTAGAACTTGCAATTTAAAAAAAATTCAACAACTGTTTGATGTCTCATGACAACACAGATGCACTGCTCTTAAGAGCTCCTTTCATGTCATTACCTATAAGCAGTGAGATCCTGTGCTGGCAAGAAAACAAAGTTGACTTGAAACAAGTTTTATGTAGAAGGCCAAGCCCTAGGAGAGATGAGACTACTTTTGAATGACAGTATAATAAGCTTATCTGAGCAAAATCCATGTCGTGGATGAGAATGCAGTGCTGAGATTTATGAATATGCATGAAGTATCCCTTGATGTTGCAGGTTTTGGCAGAGGTTTGGAGTGACTTGGTGAAAGTGTGAAAAGTATTCTGCCTGAGAAATGGATGTCCTGAAAGGTGTTTTACTTTGAAAAGTCTTCCATGAAGATGATAGAAGGTGCATATAACTGAAGGGAATGTGTGAGTAAACAAACCTGTCAGGCAAAACCTCTTTCATTTATTTTCATTCAACAATCTTCCATAATCTTGAGCACCCAGTTGCCTATATTACTCAATTCATGAGAGTAATAGCAGGAAGCTATGGAGAGCAGATGACTTGGAGGAGGGGGGGAAGGTGATGAAACTACCACCTGCTTCTTTATTGTGCAGAAAGTACACCAGAAATTTAGTGTTTGAATAAATAGAAGCAATACTGTGAGAGACTAAATTATAAATAAAGCTAAAAATCAAGTTTTTGGTAGAAAAGTTCAGTCTGATTGGCGCTGTGGAACCATAGAAATAAATATTCATTCCTAAGGGTTAAGCTGATCCATCCCAGAGCAGTGACTGTTACTCAAATGAAGGGCTTCACCACTCCAGACATTATTCTGCAGCAGAACAAGCTCTTTGCATGTGAAAGTTAGTAAGATGGGAAAAGACAAAGGTAGACTGTATAGTGCAAAGAAAGACATGACAAAGAATCGTGCAAGTTGGTCAAGATTTTCCCTGAAGGTTCACAAGTGTTCACTTCAAGCTTAGAGCAGTATCATGCTGAAATAGTGGACTCCATTACCATAACTGAATTCATTCTCCAAAATGCATCCATTCTGGGTGTTGGCTATGCATCATCATGGAGCCAGTGTGTTCTATCATAGCAAACATAGTGTGAGGATTGATGTTAAAGAAGCAAAATTTGGTGGAGCTGGGAATAAGATTTCCTCTCATTCACTACCCAGAATCTGGGCAATTAGCTGTGAAATGTTCAATACAAATAGTCCCTCTGCTTATGGAAAACATCTGCACCCTGTGCAGTTGTGAAATTTTATGTTACTGTTTTTGTCAGTTGCAGAAGGTAAGACTTCTAGGGAGTTCATTCATACAAATTTTATTTTGCTTCATTACCTCAAATGATGACAACAGGAAAATGTGGCATGGCTAGCTGTTTCCACCATATTTGAAGTTACAAGGTTTGTGCATAAGGCTGTTGAATAATCAATATTAACTGTGAATCATATTTAAAAAAATAACCTGCACCAAGCAATACTGCAAACATGTCCCACCTTCTGGCTGTCATCTTTTGTGCAATTGAAAATAATAAATTAAAAAAAATTGTTGCATTAAATCTGTCAAGAAAGACAGCTGTGGAATTTCACTTTCTTTTCATGCAAATGTTTTATGAAGGTGATGGAATATGTTCATGCCCAGATTTTGGAGCCTGTCATTTAAATACCAGGGGCCTGGTTTGCAACTAAGTTGCATCTGAATCTGATTATCAGACTGCTAGTGTGATAAATCTCATGGCTCTCACATTGTTGTGCATAAAGTGATACCTGAAAAATCAACACATCCAGACAATATCAGGGACTGGTACTTTTCCAGAACACAAGCAATTATGTCAATAAAAAAAAACAATGAATTTTATAAACCAAATGCTTGAATAAGAATCAAATCATAAAATAACTATGTCTTAATGAGTGTAGTTCTCATAGTTTGCAATTAAAACCTTGCTTGACTTGCTCGATTTGTACTGTCATGTTGTAACACCCAAAGGTCAGTCGACTAGACAGTTTCACTGGTTGGATACTTCCAGAAAATAAATACACACTGTCTCCAAGCATGAAATTGCAATGGTCTCTGGATCCACACACAGGACCATTCATTGTAGTTTCTGAACATTGCTCATTTCCTTCCTGTCACACCTTCTGGTCTCAATTTTGCAGTGATGGAGGTTCATTTAATGAGGAGTTGGGTATATGCTGTCTGAGTGATGGCGAAGTCTTTCACCTGGTCTTGTGGGTATCTCTTGTGAATGAGAGGCAAGGATATCCTTGATGTGTTGCACGATCAGCCGGATGGCAACTGCAATGGAAAACTCCCATCATGCATGGTAGTTTCCTCTTCCTGGCTTAAGGATTTATTTCATTTAAAAAAAGTTGTCAATTGGACATGTATGTAATATCTTAAATTTAAATTGCAATTATAGCTGAAGGTTAATCAGTAATTTCCAACTTCTTAGTCCTATGATTATATTTGGACTGAATGATGGATTTCTTTCCAATGCCACTTACCTGTGAGGAGTTCAATAATGGACACTGAATATTAATTGTAAAAAGTGACAGTATCTGCTAGCCACATGATTCCATTCATATACAGCATGAGTCAAAAAATGCTACATAGTTCAAACATGAAATTGAAGAAAAAAAAGAGAGATAGAATCTTTCAGAATGTAAGTTTAACCCTTTTAGTCTGTGCAGTCAATTTTTCAGCCTTGTATACTGCTAAAAAATGCCATAAGCCAATATTTCAACCACAGCTTTTCATTAGGTTTCTTCCTTAATGTAGTTGGGGTTCTTGTTGGATGGCATAAAAATTGGCCCATAGCATTTTCAGCAGTAGTACATGTTGCTGAAAAATCAGCCACATGCCATAAAAAGGGCTAAGTAAATATGACATCCAGCATTTTGTATGATGAATACTGAATGTGATCATGGCTGGTCAATTAATCCTGTGCAAAAATTGTTGGGAGGTCTCTCTTAAACAACCTTTTCTTAGATTCTGGATATATGCCTCTTCCTTGAAACTTTCTCCTGAAATACCCCCTCCCCCTCCCAACTTCATAATTATTTTGTAATCAGAGCTGTTGGCCAGACATATTCCCATGTAAATGACACCTGATGTATTCTGATTCAAGAAAGTGGCATTTGCACAAGACAACACAATCTAGCTGGAAATTGACTCAATTGCTGAATAATGTCAGACTCCACTGTGTTTCAAATTCTAATTATGAATATTCTGAATTCCTTTTGGCAAACCAGGTTTCATAACTCCAGTCCTTCAACTGAAGGGAAATTCATAGAACAAATTATGAAAGTGAGTACTGCAACCCTATGCTGCATGATTTGATGCATTATGGTAATATCTGGAAAAAGATTACATTCCAGAGTAATGATGTCCTATCCCACATCCCCTATCTATTTCTAATGCAATCATCACTTTGTTGCCTCAGGATACACCAGACTTCATTGACCCAGAAATGTAGCCAATGAACAGCCTTGACATGAACCAAGATCAAAGTATTCAAGTGGAGGACTATAATTCTAAAGCATTATGAAAGCTGGAAGGAAAGTGAAGCAAACCAATAAGAAGGAATGGTTAAATAGTGTAACAGGCATTAATATTGGCATTTAAAGAGATTAGGGTAAAACAGCAAAACTGAATGCCTGATAGTTGAGTCAAAGACTCACACCTTTAGGTCAAGTTGAATGCATGTTAGGACAGTCATTTCAATGTTAAGGTTTGTGCATTTGAATCAACCTTTTGGTGTTTCAAGTTTTGCCATTTTACCCTTATTTTGGGCTTAACAAAGAACCTGAAGGTTCACATTCCTGGGCTGGAATATTTACAAACATACAAGGGGTGTTTGAAAAGTTTCCTGCCTGAGGCACTGTCTTCCAGTTGTTATACACCTCTCTTGCTTTTCTCATGGGAAAACAAATGTCTTTGACTGGCAAAATGCCATCATGTTTGTCAATGGACAGCTTCCATGAATTTTTTTGTTATGTGCTACCTAAGAGTCTACTGAAGTAGTCTGAAGTATTTGCAGATATTTTAGGTGAGGGTCAGTAAGACACCATCCTCTTAGCCCTTAAAAGATCTGACGGGAGATTGACTCCTTCAATGTTGGAAATTTCATCACAGAATTTGTCTCAATTTTAAGACCCAGTGGATCCTTTGATAGCACATTGAGAAGAATTCATTGAAGCTGTCCATCATTGACAAATTAAGATGAAATCTTGCTATTCACCATCAAAGGCATCTTTCCATGTGAATAGCAAGAATGGTGTATTACAACTGGAAGTGCCTTGGACCAGAAACTTTTTGAACACCCCTCATATATTGCTGCTTTCATGATTAAATTCTCATGCTTCCAAGAAGTATGTCATTAAGTTTCCATGAATTTTTTCGCTAGTAGGAATTTTTTTTTATTTCAATCAACAATGAATTGCAATATTTTGCTATTGCAGCTGTAGTAGATCAATTGCCATAATTAGTTCTGGTTTGCAGTTTCGTAATGGTCATACACCTTGAATATTTCATTCCATAATCATCCTCATCACAGACAAATTTTAATTTAATGTTACTTGTTAATGATGCACCATAAAAATTTGATCATTTTTCCCATGCCATTAAATAACAACTGGTTCTTTCTCCTAAGCAAATATTCATAATTATCAGTTTTTTTAATTGCTACTTGAATCTAATGAGTTTACACTGCTACCTCCAGATTACCAGGTAGCAGTTTATGAGCAAGTACTATTGCAAAATAAACATTCTGCAATGACTGTTTTGGCCATTGTTGAATGTCTATGAATCAAGGAGATACGTGAGGCAAGGAGAGGTTGGATGGGCATTTAAGTCCTTGGCAATGAAAGGGTTAAATTATGAGCCCCCCACCTATGGCCACTATAGGATGGCATATCAAAAGAAAACATGTGGGAGACATAAAAGAGTGGCCAGGTATATCATCTCTGATTTTATTCAATTTTTTTTAATGTCTGAAATTAAGGAAATCGTGTCTTAAGGAAGTTTTGTTGAAGGGTGCAAAATGAATTTTTTAATGTCCACAAACATGGATGCTCTTTAAAAAATTCATAACTGGAACAGTTTTGTATCCAGGAAGTTCCTCTTCTTATATTGTAGTCAACATATTTCAACCTACTTTTAGAAATATAGGAGTTGAAATATGATGCCAGCAACCAGAAATGTGTACGGGCAGGTGTGGGATTTTGGATAAGAGAACTCAAAATGAGATATCTTGGGTGTGGACATTTAAGGTTAATAAACTCCTTCTGGGTACCCCCCTTGCCCCAATTTAAATTGAAATGTAGGGAAAGTTTTCTCAGAATATTCATCTTCCACCTATGAAAGTCTGATTTCATGGCACACTGCCATGAGTTTGTATATATTGTTGTTTATTTGTATGCATATCCAGAAGCTTGTGGTTCATAGATACATGTGTACATCCCTGGGAAGTGAAGAATTAAAGGCCTAATTTCTTAAGGTACTATCTCATTACCTCATTGGATAGTATATAAGCTGCAGTAACAAGCAGAGCTGAAATATTTTCTTGAGTATCACAAAAGCTGCTCTCATGCTGGGGGATATAAGGTTGAGCTTCATTTCAGGCTCTATGAGAACTTCGTGCATCTATGACTACAGTCCAGTAATATAGTTCCAGCTTTAGGTTACACTGTAATTAAGTAACTCCATCTCATACCAGATGGAGACTATGGGCCTATCAGAACTTGCTGTATTGGATTTTTTCTTTCATCAATAACTATTAGGTACCTGGAATCTAAAATGAATGTCATACTTTCCACTTCCATTCCATTTCAAATTCTTCAAAATATATAGACATAAGATTATGAAGTGGAATCCACCTTAGTTAATTTTTTTAAACAGTGCACTATTTGTCATTTTTACATTTCTATTTCTCATCATTTATACTGGTGGTCAATGTTTCAAGATCTCTCATTATGAAATGCAATAATGCATTACAGTTCCAGTTTGGTTCTACCTCTCAGAGATAATTATAATTTCTCTGCAATAGAGTAATGCTCAGAAGAGCTTTACTTTTCATCAATGTGCCAGGAATATGATCTCTACAGAAAATTGGTTTGAATCCTACTCAAAGGCTGCCAACACAAGAATAGCGCAGAACAGATCAAGGATTGAAAAGTGATCCTCTGGGAGTTGTGACCCCAGTCATTTCAGCATATCAGGCACAAAAGTATTTTGTGCCTGATATGTACTTCATTTGAGTAATTCTGTTAGTTCACTGTGTAAAGCCATGTGAATATAGAGTTAGGCAAGAGGCTCTTTTGTTATCTAATCAGAGGCATACAATGATTTTGCAAAGTCATCCAAATTCTGATGACCATCTTCAGACCCAGGAATGCTTAATTCATCATATGAAAATTAATGTCACTCAGTGAACCACAAAGCTGAAAACATGTCTATTGCATAACATAAAAAATAATAAGCCCTATTTGCAAGAAAAGCATGCATTATGAGGGGCACACCACTAGCTAGCACAGCAGTAGGAAAAAGGCTGTTTTATTCTGATATCATGCATAAAAAAAAATCAAGAACATCCAAGGGAATACAAAGTGACTATGAGGATCAAGGCCAGTGGTGTGAATTTATTTCCACAAGAAATGACTTCTTGTGTGGGTGTGATGCAAACAGCAACAGAGAACAACACTTGCAGAGCTTGCTTTCCACAGTTGATCACTTGCATAAGAAGCATGCATTATTGCCACACAAGGCACAGACATAGAGAAACTATTGTGTCAAATGAGGCACAATACAGATAATGCTCTAAGAACATGTGCTGATCCTCAGTGCAGACAGACCTTCCCTTCCTCATGCAAGACACTATAGAATAAATTCCTGACTCCTGACATGATGATGAGATTGGTACACAGTAACTCCCTTAAGGCATCTCAAGGGGATGGTGACAGGGATGAATGAACGGTGTCATTCAAATGATTCACCCTCTGCAGAAGATAGTCACGCAAGTGCTGTGTGATAAGCTGAATTGCCACTGAAAGGAACAGGATTTTGTGCCTTGAGACTTACATGCACAGAAACATATTACACAGCAAATACATAATTTTAAGCACCAGCAGTGATCCCTTGTGATACAATGTAAAGTGGATATCAAGCAATCTATAAGCTAAATAAGATCACAAGATTACTTGATTTCCTGCATCTATAAGAACAAGCATGCTTCAAGTATGAGAGCCAACTAGGATAAAAGGCAATTTACTCACCTTAATCACTACTTCAGGAATTTTTGGGCTCCCCTTGGATTCTATTTTAAAATGGGAAGCTTTAAGTCTCAGATGCTTCATAACTTCAGCTGTTGGTGATGTATGAACTTATCAACACACTGACATGAGTCAGTGAGGGAAGATGAGTTTGAATAATGAGTACCATAATTTTTTGGAAAAAAACCAACTTGCTACCATGAGACTATCATTCAAGCTTTGAGCTAAATGACAGCAAGAACTCAATTACGATATTCTAGAGCTTACCTGAATTATCAGCACCCCGGGGAATGATCACATCAGCAAACTTCTTGGTCTGTCAGGAAAATAATGCATTTTGGAAGTAATTGGTGGGAAAATGATCAAGAAATGAATATTATTGAAGCTTTCAAGGAAGGAAAATGTGGTGGAGTTTCAGAAACAACTATGGAGTCAATTTTGATTACTTGCCATCAAGAAATAGTGGGAAAAAGTTTTTCACCTCCTTGATATAAGAAAAGTTCACTCACAGGTAAACAGAAGTTCTCGAAAGATGGCTTCACAAACAAAAGGTATTGATTGAGGACATGCTCCAAATCTCTTCCTCTTTCCTTCACATCCCTCAAAACTGGGAAAAAAAAGATGACAAACTCTCAAGGATGATTATTATTGATAGTATCAATACACCCAACCACAAAAGGTGGAGACACCTATTCAAATTTTATCCAGATGCTATATATTAGTAATTTTACGTCATACTTTTGACGTAGATATGTAACCTCACCTCTCCTCATCAAACGAGTATCAGAATCAGTGTCAACAAAGAGCTTCATATGAAACAAATCACGTATCTCCTTGCAATAGAACACAAGGATCCCTTCCAGAAGAACCACATCTGCAGGATGAATGGTGATGAATTCATCCTTTTTTCTGGAATACAGAGGAGCACAAGATCCTTTCAGAATTCTGAAATACACCAACTACGAACATCTTCAAGTCTCAGATCTTTCAGTGGCAAATGACCACTCAGATTGGTCTAATCCAAATGCCTAGGATGGTACATCTGAGAAGTGCACACAAAAACATCCCCAAAACCAACCTTGAATTTGTTGAGTAATCATATACAGGTACTTGACACTTTTTCCCATGCAAGATTGCTTGGAGTGTATCTAGCAGCAAGTCAAAGTCCATAGCATCAGGATGGTCAAAGTTGTATTTTCCTTTCCTGGCCTTCAAACCATCCTCTGAATTTAACTCCTTGTAGAAACTGTCTTGCGTGATGCATACGACCTGTCTCTGGGTGTCATCCATCTCATCCTGTCCCAATTTCTCCATTATTCGGCGGCATACTGTTGACTGAACACAAACAAGAGCAAAAGACCATATTTTTGTCACCTGGAGCACAAAGTGAAACTTATATTAAGGAAGACATTTTCGATAAAATTCACCGATTGCAGCTGCTCTGAGAGCAGACAGGCGAAGGAATCGTTTACGAATCAGTGAACCTGAAGTCATATTCTATGTCTACGTTTTCCCGATTTTGTATCTCAGTTAACCTATGATACTGTAAAAGTTTTTACCTTTCCGGATGCTGTGCCCCCAGCAACTCCGATGAGGAAGGGTTTTTTCTCGAAAATATTTGAAGCGGACTTCGAACGCTCATAAGAAACGTGAGTAGGACTACCATCCATGTCTTTGTGAATAGGCCCAGGTGTGCGGACTGTCTTGCACAGAAGTCTTCAAGAGAAAGGCTCTAGAGCCAAATTCGAGGTTCTAGTCACCCCCTAATATACCCTTACGGCCCAGTCAATCCCGTCGTAGTAAAGGAGGAAATTCACGTGAATGCACGTAGGAAGTCGCCATTGCCTAAGTATGAAAGCATGGTGTCACGACAGGTCGACATGAGTCTCCCAAAGTTCCTTCTTTTCTGCCTCATCACAGCCTCATCGAGGCTAAGAGCTGAATACGCTGGAGGGCCTCAGAATCAGATCGTAGAAAGAGTGATCCTGGTGGAACGTCCGCTTGCATTTCTGTTCGATGAGGTCCGGAGAAGCGGAGCGCCTGTGGAGCAGGGTGTCAGTGACAACATTCCTCCCCATGAGAAGTATGCAGAAATGGCCCGGTACATCGTTCACCACTCAGGTAGTCTAAAAAATCTCTGGAATCATGGAGTTATTTTTTCGGCTCAAATTTTGCTAAAGCGTATGCTCATGTTTTAACAGTGATTTTTACTACCAGTTATCTTACCCTCATAATGAGAGCTTGGCGTATTTTGTAAACATAAAGGCGTAAAAACTTGCACAATGTACTGGGCTTTTCAGATCAGTGTCCCAGTGGAGGTAGCAGGTGGATTGCTAGTAGGTTAGTAATGATGAGTACGAGTCTCTTGAATGAGTCAATAGTCTAGCCAAATCATACCAGTGGGATAGGGTAAACACCCCAGTTTTTGGCCATGCTGATATGACTCCCATAGGAAGTGGGCACCCTGTGTGCACACCGTAAAACACTAGTAATAGGTCCTTGTACAGGAAGTTATTGATAGAATGCTTGAAAACTGACAGATTAATTAATTATGTTGGATTTAAGCCTCACTGACCAGAAACTGGGGTGCTTACCCTATACTATACAGGAAATGAAGGTATGTCTGACCTCACCAGGATTATTCATCTATTTTTCCTTTGTCTCCTCTGATAATCCAGAGCTCATTCAGTTCCTTTTTTTAAATATGTATTTCCCCCTGATTTCCAAATAATTCTGCTTATTTTTATAATGAAATTTAAGTTTAACTTTACTAATCCATAAGGAAAGCACATTCAACTTCATAACCACAATAACTGCATGCCATCTCTATTTAGCCATGTCATGGTTAATCCATGTCAAATTGACTTGAAGAACCAACTAGGAGGTGCATTCTTCACTGACTCATGGCTTGGTAGAAACAATTTTATAGATAGAACTTTTTCTGTGTTTGACCTGCAATTATAGCATCTAGCAAAAAGCATGCATATTGGATACAATTCAGTTCTCTTAAAAAGTATGTGCATATGGCTAGAATGAGTGACAAGTAACATAATTTACCTTCCAGAATGGGCTTCTATTGCAACATTGTCTACTCGAGGCCCAACTGCAGGACTACCATTTGCAAATGTTATTGCCATGAGTGATGGACCTCTAGAACATGGCACTGGAGTTCCCTACATGTATATCACTTGGATGGATATGTCTGCTCAAGATCTCAAGGTGGGTATCTATTTTCAATTATGTTTTTGCTTTGTATTGCTGCTATACATTGCCATTCGTTTACTCTCTGCAAGATGTTCAATTTTTTTTCACTTTACATACCATCTTGAAACTTAAGATCTATTTGCTCTCATCCCCCTTAAAGACTTTGATATCTTGTCTATTCCATAGGTCAACCCCAATGCTTCTCTTGTTATGACTCTGGCCCAGTCAGATTATTGCAAGGAAAATCACTATGATCCAGAAAGTCCACTTTGTGCAAGAGTGATCTTGAATGGACAATTCAGTGTCATCCCAAAAAGTTCACCTGAATGGAAATTTTCTCAGAAAGCCTTGTTTTCACGACATCCAGAGATGGCTGATTGGCCTCCAGGTAAGTTCCATTTAGTTGTGTATGCCTACATGTTTTTCTCCAGTTGCCTGAGTTTGTCTTGTGGCAGTAAGTTGCACACTGTGTTTTGTTTATTTTACAGATCATTCTTTCTTCTTTGCCAAGTTGAATTTAACCTTTGTCTGTGTGCTGGACTACTTTGGAGGAGCTCAAGAAGTTTCTGTCAGTGATTACTTCCAAGTAGGCTTAGCCTTTTGAAGCTCACATATTATTTCCATCCTGAGGCTTCCTGGAGGAAGTGCTTCCTGCAGGTAAATGCAAACCTGCCTACTTCCCTTCTTGTAAATTGCAATTGTGAAGAGACTCATGTGGCTCATTTGTCTCAATACCTGGTCCTGTTGCAGGTGCTGGTTGTTACTGCCCAGGAGTATGCCATACATATGGGGCAATTACTTATAATCATGCTGTCATCAAATGCATAGTGGGTGGTTACTTGAAACCATAACATCATTGAATAAAATGGGGAAAATGGCCAGGATTATGTAAGGGGAGTATTTTTATCTTGTCAGTGCATAGATACACAGTTATTTTCCCTCCAAAGCGTTGAGTCTATGCTGTCTGTGTAGAGATTGTCCACTTTTTTGTGACTTAATGCAAATATGAAGCCATTTACTATCAACACTGTTGACCAACATTGACACCCTGCTGACCCCTGTTTTAATTGGCCTCATCATGACTCAGGAAAGCCAAAACTCTGGGATATCTGTTGTATTGCCCAAGTTCTTTTATAGCCCTCATATTAACTTATACACAGATGTCTCTGTCATGAAAGTCGATAAGGTCTGTAGCTTAAGGTGCCAAGCATTTTATTGTTCTGACTATCCTGACAGTCAGCATCAAATTCCAACTGCACTTAATGGAGATTGTTCATCCCAGGGTGTATATAATCCTGTGCCTTCTGTCTTTCCCTTTTTCAGTCTGCTGTGGTTGAAGTGTCCTTGAAGTAAAGCTGTGGTGATTGGAAACTATCCATGAATTAAAACTGTGATTATTGAATAGTGCCAGATTCATGATATAAAGCTGTGATGATTGAAGTAATCAATGTTCCAGAGGGTACATTAATACAGAAATGATTGATTTTCAAATTATTGTGTTTGTTTTTTTGCCTCATAAATGAAATAGGCCCACATCATTTACCACCATACCACATCATGTTCCACCATTTACCAGTTTATAGCTTTTGAGTTGTTGTTTTTTTTTTCAAAGCTTAAATTAGGAGCCCTGAGTTAATTCAAATTTATACTCAATATTCTATACCGCATGTGACACATAATTAGAGCTTAATGCATCTGATGTATTGGAGCTTTCATGCAAGGACATAAACATGTCAGAAACACTATCGCTGCTGATCACCTTTATGAAGGCAGCTGTCAATTTAAGAAATTCACTCTTGATCTCATCATGTAATGACCGAATTTTATTTCTGGCATTTGTGCCTCAGAAATGATTGCGTGTCACATTTCGTTTTCCTTTTGCTTTTTTTTTTAGATTGGTCGAGTTCGAGAGAATTCTAACACTGGGCAAGCTGAAATCACAAAGTAAACTCTTACGTTCTGGATGGGTGAATGTGTTAAAATCTGTTGACAATTTACACGCATAAGTCTTACATGCCTCTCTTGCAAATTGACATCGGAGAAACTTGTAAGAGACTGAAAGTCATCCACCTCATAAAAGTGAAGCTAAGGAAAACCACTGCATCAGGAGTTTTTGCTCATCTTTCCTCCACAGCTATGTGCTAAACAGAGCCGTTTCTAGGGGCGGGCGATCGCCCGGGGCGCCAGCGGGGTAAAGGGGGAGGGGGGGACGCCATTGAAACTTGTTTGCCCTGGGCGCCAACAACCCCAGAAATGGCCCTGGTGCTAAAAGCCGCAAGTCATAAATGCAAATGCCTGAGGTGCAAGATTCAAACATGCTTCTCGTTGTTTCCAAGTTAAACGTCATTCCAGGGAATGAATACGATTCCTGGGCTTCGTTTTTTTTTTATTACCCAAAATGTATATGTTCTCATTCCTTTTCTGCGCTTTCAAGATATTCAACTTGACCATGCGAGTGTTAAACGCTTACCCAAGAGCTTGATAGACTCATTCCTTTCCGTTCAACCTTATCGCAACTCAGTCATGAAATTTAAAATACATAAGACTCTTTGTCAAGGTTACGCGGTATTTTTTCCAATTGCCTTTAAAAGAAAACGCATGGTTTTGGCCGGAGTGGGACCTGGCAACCCCCTGGCCTTGGACGAGGAATCGGCCGAGTCAACGCGGACGCGTCGACGGAAGAGCTGCCTCACTCAGCTGGATTCCTCTTCCCAATCCTCTCGATGATCCTCCGTTTTCCATCGTACGGGTGCTGACGCAACGCTGTTTAGAATGTTTCTAAGATTCGATTGCGTGGAGGGTTCTGGGAAGGTCAAGAACCCGTCGCGTCAGACTGTTAAAACCGGAAGCGGGACGTGTCCGTGTTTGTCTCTACCCATTCCTTTCTCGCTTTCTTGCCTGACCTCCCATCTTTAATCTCGGAATCCTTTCCTCTGGGGTGCTGGAGGATCTGGGTGACTCAGGGTGAGGGCATACTGGATGAATAACTTAATCATGCTGGTCTTCGTACCTGTGACTCGAATTCGACAAAAAAAAAATTCTGGTACACCATGCTTAAAAGAGAAAGAAACGACCTGCATTAGCTCATTGAAGGAGAGCTGCTTCCACGGAGTACTTTCCATAAATTAGTATTATCAGTTTTGGCAGCTTAGTTTATTGCTTCTAATTTCTCTTCTGACAGAGGTCAGGTTCTCGAAAGGAGACCATGTGTCAAGGAGTAACTTGACTTGACTTTAAAAGTTATTAGCAGCATGAAATTATTTTTTATGAGCCGTTAAAATGGATGGTCCGGAGGTACTTTTAGTTCCATCCCTGTTTTGGTAACCTTACCCACTTCAAGTATTGCAAGAATCGCAGATGCAAATCTGCGGTTCAAATATATTCACATCGAGCTCCAGTGGAAATAAGTTTGATGTAGGATCAAATACAGTTTATTTTCTTTATTTTCTAAATCAAACCAATTGCTGTTGAATACGACAGATCACCTATCAGTGCATTTCACTGTGAATACACTTCTGATTGTCGATCTGCGATTTCTTACTCGTGCCGAACTTTCACGAGACTAAACAGGCAGAGAGAAGGCTTCCTGGGGATAAAAAGAAGGAAGAATAAAACGGGGCTCGTCCGGGAATTGAACCCGGGACCTCTCGCACCCTAAGCGAGAATCATACCCCTAGACCAACGAGCCGCTGTATCAGTTTATAGTGCCTTGTTTTTTCCTTGTGAGAAATTCCGCTTGCGTCAGAGCTGTCCTAGTCAACCTGCAATCTCAAGGAAGGTGTGGCCGACCTACCCCGCAATAGACAGCTTCGCTCGTGGTATTAGATATACGATGGTATTCGTTAAAAATTAGAATATAAAAAAAAAATCCAAGAGAACGAAGAGCAAACGATCGTTGCAGTTTCTCCACAGGATGATGGTTGCTGATGAAGGTGAGAGGGGTACAATGACGTGAAAATTTCTGCTTATGTAAGAAGCCATTCCAAAAAAAAGTGGGCTGTGGACTGGCAGCGCGTGGGACGGACCAGTCCTTTCCCTTGTTCGTCTTATCGATATTACAATAAAATGTATCATAAATCATGTACTGAATCAAGGGGGATGAAGAGAGCTTTCCAACGATGTAGAATTCACCGTAATCGAGTCCGGGAATTTCGAGCAATGAGCGGTATAAGAAAGAGTTTCACTCGAGACGCTCGTTGTCTCATAAGTTTTTTTTTTTTATCTGAGCGCAGTGGCGGCTTCGTTGATAGAAGGAAGGCAGGCCCCTGTCCCTGGCTCCGTTGACGCGCTATTACGGCTGTATGTCACGAGCCGCCGCTGCTATTCTGGGGTGGAGATGACGTATCAACTACGCCGCGGGGAAACCGCAGGTTCACTCGAAGAGCCCTAGCGCCAGTGGAATTCCGTACAGGGAGTAAGAATGTAGAGGATATTACAAGCGACGGCTCGTTGGTCTAGGGGTATGATTCTCGCTTAGGGTGCGAGAGGTCCCGGGTTCAATTCCCGGACGAGCCCGCTATTTTTTTTCCTTTTTCCCTTCCCCGGGAAGCTTTCCTTTATTCAGCCTGGTTATGTGTAAGTTCTGCACATGTAATAAATTGCAGACTGACAGTCTAAAGTGCATTCACGGGAATACTGAAATCTAAAGTGCATTCACAGGAATACTGGCATCACCGACAGAAGTTGGTCTTTGTTGAGGGACGAGGGGAAGTACTGTATCGCCGAGTCGCAGGTTGCAAGAATGCGAGATGCACTTCTGATGGGTAGGATCCAACACTGGCATTGTTCAGCTTCTATTTTTTTTTTTCAGAACTACACGAAGCAATCCCTCAATGTCGCCATCGGTTATAGCTTCGGAATGCCATCTCTTATCGGAATCGAATTCCCATCTCCGATCTCATTTCGAGAGCGCGTTGAGTCGACATGCTCTCCAAGTGATTTTTCCCTGATTGACAGGCGTGTTAACGGCCCAACAATTATTTTTCGTAGGACAGAGAGACACGTGGTCTTTTATGTGACGGTATGGTGGTCCATGGCCGCATCGTTCCGAAGCAAGTATAATCGCGATCGCGATTAAGGGGAACATGTAACTTAAATTTTCAATTAAAGAACTTGGTCAATTTCTGACTGACGATTGAACGCTGAAAAGTGCTTGACTTGGCATAGTGGAGTTGAATGAAATTTTTTTCCCTCTGCGGAATTCTACTTGCTTTAGAGCTTTCAGTTAACCTGTGGCTTCTCCGAGGCATCACTCATTCGTCATCTTCACTCCAGAATAGCAGCGGCGGCTCGTGACATACAGCCGTAATAGCGCGTCAACGGAGCCAGGGACAGGGGCCTGCCTTCCTTCTATCAACGAAGCCGCCACTGCGCTCAGATAACAAGGGAAAGGACTGGTCCGTCCCACGCGCTGCCAGTCCACAGCCCACTTTTTTTTGGAATGGCTTCTTACATAAGCAGAAATTTTCACGTCATTGTACCCCTCTCACCTTCATCAGCAACCATCACCACGCGCCCTGGTAAACCCCCAACCCGCTTGGAGAGTCTGCTTTGGCCATTTCCTATAAGTCGACTCTCGATAACTCGAATTTCTCTTTAACTCGAAGCTACTTCGTTTCCTTTGGAAATTCTCATACGAACGTCCATTTTCCCTCTCGTCGATAGCTCCAAAAAACCTTCCTAGTGATCGTGACAGTTTTCAGTCATTTGAAGAAAAATAAAATTTTTTTAAATTAAATCAATATTTCTTCCGATCATGGTACAACAAATCATATGTCGTTGGAAAGATCTCAAGCTCACCTTCCTAAGGACGCCACCCCTGATACCGTAAGTGCTTCGACACATTGAAAAAACTCCACCGGATTGACCAAAAGTGGAGAATTTTCCATTTCTAGGCGAACTTTTTCTTATAGCGTGGAAGGTAAACAAGTCTCTTGCTTTTCCGAAGCATCTGAAAGAGGAGTGTAACTTACTGTAACGAGAGGTTTGCCTTTTTGCTCGCCACATAGGGATGTCTGGGGGTCCAAATTGCCTAAATTTCACATTTTCAAACTCGACTATGATACTGAAATCTCATTCAAACTCCAATCACGTATGAAGAGAATTGTTCACCTATCAAATATCTCCTGGTGAAGCTATTACACGCCTCCGTGCGATGAACCGTTTCTAAGATGGACATTTTGCCGTCCATGGGTTTTGTCGTTTTCTCCGAAAGTTTCTGTCCGATATCTCGCTAACCACAGATCCAATAAAGGTGTGTTTTTTTTTTACCGGATTGTAAGTCACTGCAATTGCTAAGATATTTTATCCCAAATCCCGAGATGGTCGGGCGCCATTCTAAGCTTAAGTTGGTTGAGTTTGTATGGAATGACCCATCAATATAACTATTCAATACACTTGCTGCAGATTCAGTTATCCCAGGAATGCGATGATTCACGCCTTCGGCTCCCACCACGATCAGTTGGGAAAGTCAAGACGCGAT